TGTAATTTAGCCATACCACAGAGAAATTAAAAATGACGCGTTACTCACACATTTTCGCAGTGTGTCACATAGATGCGCTGATTTGTATATTCTACTTCGCAAAATAAATTTCTATAAAATTTGAATAACTGGAAATAAAAAATAACAAAAGTTTTTCAGGTTTCATAAATATCTCTGTCTGGGCATATTGTCTCACCTGATGGTTGTAATACACTTCGCCAACCAAGTATTTTCTTTCCTTATCTCTCTCATTTTTGAAATTCAGCAAATTTGAATATGTAATTTCTAGGATGAATAAGAAAAACTAGATGCGCAACAAATTTCTAGCTTTGCATATACATATGTCAACTAAGTGTATTTGAGACAAGATACCAATGGAATTAGCATCAACACAGATTATTAGCACACAAATCCTCAGTGTGGGCATATGCACTGCCGTTTCCTTCCAGCTATAGTATAAAACTTACAGCTTAGACCTCCAATAATGTTTTCTCTGAAGCAGATTTTACATCACATCAGAGCAAAGCATTGATAGCTGAAGCATCATGACGTTTAGACAACACGTACAGCTATTGAACGAGTGCACAACAAGTGAACAAAGGCTAGTTTTAAGTTGACATCTTGAAGAAAAACCTATATCTTGTTACAACAAATCAATAAAATGGAGAAACCGACATAATGTCACTTTTCAAGATACGTAATACCCCTGCGGACCGTCCCTCGCTACCGAGGCGGTGTTGCCAAGCTGCCATAAAACATTTATAAAACGTTATATTTATACTAAGTAGAATTGAGTTCTCGGCCCTTTCACAGTTTTTTGTGGTTACGTCAAAACGTCATAAGAAATTAATAAAAGGCCAGGCTGTCTAGATAACTCACGATCATGCCAAATAGACCGACGATTGGTCAAATAAGCAATAATTTAACGTTAGAAAACTTTTCTATTACAAGCTCACGTCTAGTCTTTTTCAGAAGTATGCATTACGTAGAATGCCAGCTGATTATCTAGTAATTTTTCAAACTTCCCAATGTCGGCAAAGGACACATAATTCTGATGGATCCGTCAATGCCTGGTAGACAGAGCCATATATTTTTTTTTTTTTTGTAGGCTACAGACTCATTTTGTACTTACTAAAAGCTCTTTTAGTTAGAAAAGTTCATTTTCATGCAAAAAACAAAACGCTACAAACAAGGTTTTACTAGATTTACATCCGATTCATTATTGCCAACGTTGCAGACTAACACAAAAATGTTACTTGCTGATCAGCTGTTCACTTCAATAAACATCCAAGCATCATGGATACTCGTGAAATAGGGTATACTTTTGTTATTATTAAACTAAGTCGTGTAGCACTCCTAAAAGTTGAATAGTAGTGTGATATTTCCAGGTTTCGAGAATAGCTTCTCTCGCGAAAAGTGTGATTTATAACTTCATTAAATAAATAATATGAATGGATGATAAATATCACCATCATGAACAAATTTCTAAACAAAAGTAAATTTGAACAAAAAATGCTTTCACTATAAGTGACGCTCAATGAATTTATCCAAAAAAGATTATCCACCTGGCAACAATGCATTTATTTCGTAGACGCCATCAACTGTTTTGTGGACGTCATGTTTTTGGTGCCATCTCCTATCTTTCTCTCTCTAATGTACTTCGCCTTGCCTAACTGTCTTCTCTTTATATAAGAGGAAGAGGGAAATAACAAAGAATTTTAATGACTTTTGAAGATATGTAGATATGATTGCCGAACTATCTGCTAACAAGGTTTAGGTATAATGAAGGTGTGATCATATCTTCATGACTGCTTTATTTTTTATATAAACATAAATAAATATTCACAATCTGCGTCTATTTCATTTGATGAGTCTTGTTGATAATATCCGTCGTTGATCGCAAGGGAATTATTGACAAGTGGTCACCGTCCATGAGCTCTATCTGAGGTTGCTGCTTGCAGTACTGAAAAACGAACAATATGGTTGAGTTATAACTTTTACTTGCAGTATTATAGATTGTCACCCCGGGAAAATATACATTTGAAATTGGGTGAGACAATCAGACAGTGGAGTGGAGCCATTCAAGGATTTCGTAAGCAGATTTCTTACAATTATGAACTCCCCCCTCCCCATTGTCAGTAAAAGTAATCAAACCTCGTACCTCAACCTCCCATACTTACGTAAATATTTTGGTACATTTTACAGTTTGAATCCAGTATTTAGTACCATTTAATGCAATTCTGTGCTTTACTCGGTTATAAGCATTTCTAAAAGGAGCATTTGTAGCTAAGGTCCTAAGCATATCCATACTTGGGGAAGCCCTGAAGATGCGTGACGCTTTCGAGCACCGACAAGCAGGGTTGTCATTTGTGTTGAAATGAAAAACGACTAAATTTTGTAGAAAAATCGAAAAGGTAAATAAATAAGTATTGCTGACGTAATCACCATCCAGAAATGGATCGGTTGACAGACTGATCGGGCAAGAATTAAATTTGACTCACACCACCGTTCATCAGATCAAGAACAACTGGGTGTTGCATCACGATAATGCTCTTTGTCACCCAGCAATGTCAATAAACAAGTTTTTGGCCATAAAAACATTCCTGTGTCTGCTCAGCCTTCTTATTCACCTGAGTTAAGTCCTTGTCACTTTTTTCTCCTCCCGAAGTTGAAAAAACACCGCAATGGAACTCATTTTGGGACAGAACACATTCAAACGACTCTAAGCGACCAGCTGAAGGCTATTCCAGTATCGGAGTTCCAGCACGCTATGAGGAGTGGAAGAACCGACTCCAACGCTGTGAGGCTTCAGAAGAAAGTTATTTTCACTTAATTTACAAACCTTGTACTATTGTCCGCTAGGCTAAGCGATGTAGGTATTACTTCTTCAGTGTTGGCTGCTATGTGGACACATCCATAATATCTATACTGTCATATAAAATAGAAAAGATGAAATATTAGCATACTCACCAATCCTAAACCACACGTATCGAATTCGCTACTGGTGTTGGGACGGATCAAATGTACTTTTCCTAAGATGAGCGTTCCCTCAGGCTTCACATCACACGCTTGTTCTATCCTGTCGATAAGCGCAAGAACGGCTTTGCTGAGAAGAGTCTTCTCTTTCTCACTACCACCGTGTTTTTCTACTGCAGTATTTATCTTATCTTGCAGACTAGGTGCTGACTTCAGCTTCTGAAGGACCTATAGAAAGAATTTGTATATTATAGTTACATATTATCTGTAATATTATAACTATGGTTAATTATTTTACATTCTGGTGAGTGATGAAGAAATAGATAACTTTTTCTGTTTTTCTGTCACTAGTCATCAGCCCTTTGTATGTGTATCTTCAAAGCTCCGAGAACAAAGTTTGAAGGAATACTGAATATAACTAAATGCTGTCATTTTACCACAAAAGCATGTTAGCTATGGGAATTTAGGGTTATCTGTCTAGTATGTGGCAAAATCTCAGCATCAGAGACAGCTGACAAACATACAGATTTATAGTATATGGCGCTTTAGCTCGTAATTTGTGATTAGTTTCATTAGTTTGTTATCTGGTGGATTTCAAATGAGTTTTTGTGTGAAATATAATTAAAAGACTGTGAATTAAGCATTTAACTATAGTGTACTGTGCACTGGTGGGTGGTTCAAGCAACATAACAAGGAAAGCAAAGACAGTTCAAATTGGACATTGTTCAGTTTTCTAAATAACAAACAAGTTTGCTAGCAATGGATTCTGTTGTGTTACCAGCAACACAAATTTAATGTACAGACCCCAAGGATATGTACGAAGTATTTTGTGGGAAGTGACAACTACTACTTGAAAAGAAAAAACATTAGGATTACCTCAAAATAAATCTAAGTGAAAAGTGCTGCAATACCTTCCTTCATTTAATGATGGCAAGCATTTTTTTAAATATAAAATGTATTTGAAATCTGGATGTTAAATAGACATATGAAAGAAAAATTCAGAATTGGGAAGAGGAAAATGATTAAAATTGTAAAATAAAATCAATGAATCTGTTTACCAATACAAAATAATTTTTCTTATTCCACATTAACGGGTGATCTGGTTTCTTTTAATGGATATGCCACGGAATCGGCTTCTATGAGCTCTTCATCATGCTCTACATTCCAATTGTTTTCCGTGATTGGCTCCTAGATCATTAACAATGTGGAACTGTCTACTGGAAGAGGATTCTAGATTCTACTGATCTTTCAATTCAAAAATCGTTCAAACTGGATTTACAGACTAAGACTATGCTTTCTGGCGGCTCCAGTATAATGCTGTTATCTCTTTATTTCCAAGGTTCTACATCCAACCAATTATTATAAAAACACTATTATAATATTTCATAAATCGTGACTTTATTCCAACAAAATAAGATGCCGAATGTACACATGACGGGTTTTAGAGGAGGATAATTATTCTTATCGATTACATACCTGTTCGTCGCTCATATCGAAGACCCTCTTCAATGCGTTGACATGAATGTCCTCCTTCTTCTCACCGAGTTGTATAAGTGTTCCTCGCACCACGTCTGGAGCACTGTCGATGAAGTACAGGTTAACTATACCTCCGTCTTTCTGGAGCAGTCTAGCGATCTCGACCGTCAGTGCACCACCCCAGGAAATTGCTACTATGTTGTAGATGGGTTTTGGGCATATAACCTTCATTTTCTGGAAAAATAGCACATATTAGATACATACTTATTATATATCGGTTGTCGATTCATTTTGGAAAACGTTACGTTACGTTATTCTAGAATTATCAACGAGACTAAAAATTGTAAGCAAGATTGTTTAGATTTTATTTCATTTAAAAGTGATAGACGAAGAGTATTAAAGTGGTTGGTTTATTCAGTCTAATTAGATACAAACATTTATAAGGAAATAGCTAATGGTTATAAATAGTCAAAAATTTTAATTTTATTTGATTTTAAATTTGATTACTTTGCTCTTAATTTCATTAAGTATAATGAATATAATCCATTTTTCAATTGTGGTTTATTTAGGTAGTATATAGAACCTTTTATTCCTATTACTATACGTAAAATATCAGTTTCTAAAGAAAATCGATAATTGTCGGTTTTTGTAAGAAAACGAAGTAGTTTTTTTATCGATTATCTCAAGAGTTCGATAATGGTATGCTCTAGTTGGAACTATATCGACGTATGGATCTTTTTTCTAGTGACATATTTAATATCTTAATATATGAGTCTCTGGAAAAACCTTCAATATTAAATGCATACCTGCCGCCAGCAAAATAATTAGCAATAACGAATTTATCAATATGATGTTGTATTAGGGTTTAGGCTTAGCCCTGTAGGCAAAACCTAAGTGCTGAGGCAGCGCGACTGCTATAAAGAAGTTACATACATTAGTCCGATTTTAGAACTGCCTAAGGTTAGCAAAACTGGGAAATGCGTTCAAATGCAGATTGTTCCAAAATCTTGGTAGTCTGGGAACAAAGGAGCAGTCGTACCGACCAGTTCTGCATGTACGAAATTCTACAGAGTTAGGATGGGAAGCAGAAGCGTGGCTGGTCCGTCTGGCATTCTAAACACGCCGCGGTATCATACATTAATTAGAGGAGTGTTATCGGGCAGTCGTAGAGAACCTATTTGTACAGAATCGAGTACGGACACTGTAGCCAGGGTAGCAGCACCTCAAACAGTACTCACAGTACTCTAGGCTGTGAAGATGTTAAAGGACTTCTTAGCTGACCAAATTTTTGCGTACCCAGGCATTGATAACTTCCAGACCGCTGGTCATAGAGAAAGGTGCTACTAGTCTTGTTCTATTCACCTCATCGGCAGAAATCGACTTAGCACTTTGTTTGCCTGTGAAGTGCTGTCATCAGAAAAGCTGTGGATCAGATTGATCGTACAAGAGAGAAGCCAAAACTGATCCATCAACTGTCTGCAAAGCTTCTCTGAGATGCCGTACGGTATTCAGATCGTTTTTCCGGGAAGTTTCCATCTTGCGCCGCATGTGATCGTTTATCTCGTTCAAAATATCAGGAATATAAGCCGCTTACTGGGACGTCAAGATCAGCGCTGTGGGAGACCTAGATAACCCCGAATATTGCAGACGTCGAGCACAAACTGATGTTTTTCAAATCGAATTGCAACAATTTAGAAAAATCATTTATAGGTTTCTGCTGTCTCGCCTCACATTATCTTTGTTATTTCAAGCTTAGTTGTTTTTGAAAAGAAAAGCCCCAAGTTTCAGAACACTCTGTAAGTTATTATGAACGTTTTGCTGCGCCTATCACTATACTTTCACTTCTAATAGTTGGCATACAAATTACCTCGACGAACTTCTCAGCCATTTTCTTTAACGGGTACGGTTTCTCTGGCAATTGAGCCAGGAACGTCGGATAGAGAATGCTCTCAAACATTTTTTCCAGTTCTTCACGTCCCGTAAGTCCTGGTATCACGAACAGAGGTAGTAATTCTCTTATCTCCATTGGTCCTTCTGTTATAACCTGAGTCCATTCTGGCTCTTGAGGAGCACGCTTCTGGGCGTATATCAGATGTTCGGGCGTTGGTAAGAATTTCCTAAAGTCTGGAACGGTATAAAGCGTTATATTGTACTAAATGGAAGTAATAGCATAGATAATCCAGACAATCTAGCCAAAGTTATAGATAATCTTTTTGGACGAATTGTAAGGGGGCAACAAAAATGGATATTTTACAAGAAAATGGGTCATGTCTCGCAAGATAATTTCGGCTCTATTTTTTCGTGGCTTGAATATGATATAAAACATCTTTTTTTTATTTTTCACCCTTAAATACTTGCAAATCAATTTTTTTTTCACTATAATCAAACAAAAAATCTGCAAAGTTGCAAACAGAAATGATAAAGGTGAAGCTGAAACTTTGTATTTTTTCTGATTTTCATTCACGCGACAACGTCGTCTCATCTCGTGAAAAGAAGCACCATAAATTCCACATAAAAATATCCCGAATATTTGTCTGTATTGCAATCGTTTTAAAAAAATTGTGATATCTCTTAAAATTCATTTTACAGATAAGGATGATCGTCCGGTACTCAGTGATTGCGTATTATATTAAGAAGCCTCACGGTAATGGAGCAAAATTATTTTATTTAGATTTATGATAATTTTAAAACAGTTTTTACATTTATACTGGTAAAATGTACGAAGTACAGTAGAGTACACTTCACTTGCAAAATAAAGGCAACAATTTTCATTTACTTATGGTGCTCTGTAACTCATCAAAGATCCTACATATTCTTCATGCACTGAGAAAACGTGGTTAATTAAACAGTTGTCATATCCGTTATAGATTTTTTGATTGTTCTAAGTAACTAAATTATTTGGTTTAATAAGACTAAATTTTCTGTAACCGACTTAATCGAAAGTAATATACGATTAAACTAATTTGCTTGAAAATAGCAAACCATATACCTGTTCTATTAAACTGTTCAATTAGTTTAGCTAATTTAGTTTATGTAAAAAAGGTACATTTAAAACAATTAAACATTTTAATAGAAACGGTTAAACTGTTTATTGAATCGCGGACTCAGCTTTTCATTCGTGAATGGGACAGACGCGGTGCCGGTGGCGCGCTTTGAACGCCTCAGTTTCATTTGCGATTTTCGCAAGGAGCCTCATATTCGAATGATGCCGTTATTGGTGTAGTAGCTGTAAAGTGGATCAATTATGATCAAGTGACGTGACGGAATAGGAACTTTGCAATTGAGTTTATGCAGCGATATTTAGGACAATCAAGGGCATTGATACTAAAAATTTGCTTAACTTAGGATTGATGTGCTTTTCTTTTATATTGTTTATACTAAGTGGAGCCGTCTGTTGGTACAAACTTTGTAGTATTTGAGAATATCCTAGTTTGATTAACGTGATGTAGAACTAGTTCATATATGTAAATGCATTAAATACGGGTGAGTGCAATACTGTTTTATTATTTGAGATAAAAGTACAATTTTTGTACACAAAATCAAGTGGTCTGATTAAATTTCAGATATTAATTTCCCTACTTTCTGAATTTAAAACAAAGAATTGCTTCTACTGAATGGTAATATAACCTGTTTCTGGTCAATTATACAAACAACTGGTAAAACTTGATCCCATAACGTTCACAATCAATGAAAATAAGGGATATCTAATTTTATTAGGGTTATAAATTCCGTTTTCATTTTGATTCGAACTCGTCAAATATGAAGTTTTCCAAACTTTTAATATCAAAGATATCTTCGAGCACAGTTATATTATACATCATTCAGTGAAATGCAATTTGTTCTTTCAAATTCGAAATATTAGGCAAAATGTACTTTCCAATATAAATAATTCATTAAAACTAGGCACATACATTTACCTAGACTCATTAAACAAATTGAATAAATATAATTAAACTGTCTTAGTTGGAGCAAGAAAACTCATTTTAATGGTTCATTAATTTTAAATAAATTGGTGTGCTCAATCCAAGTAAATATTTTTATAGATTTAATTAAACGATAAATGATCGCATTTTGGTTTAATTAAACTGGTTAGCTGTGACATAGTTTATTAAATTTTACAATTAAATTGATTAAAATTTTAATTAGTTCAATTAAATTTTTTTCTCAGTGTGAGATAGTCAGTGGCGCACGAATGGAGATCAGATGAAAAAATACAAAATTGCTTGATTTTTAGGGTCTTATAGCAATAACTCGAACTTTTGTCCGATTTAGACTTTCCAATTTTTTTTCCATCTTAGGGTAGAAAAAGGAGCCGAGACGTGTTTCTATATGAAAAATATATAAGTGATTTTTGTACATATTTTCACCAATAAAAGATCGATGCTAGTTTTTTCCCGGCACGACCCATATCCCATTTATTCATCAGGCCTATATTAGCTGATAAGTTACAAAAAGGCGAAATGGCGTCACATAGGTCTGCTTTTCAATCAGTTTGACATTTTACTCAAAATAAGTAAATCTTAAAACTCACCGATATGTTGCGTTTGTCCATCTTGTTGCCTACTGTCAGCATCTTTGTCCTTCCTCACAAGTACATCACTGACCTTCGTGTCCATGATATTGTCCAATGCCTGGATACAATCTGCCACCTCCGTGCTCTTGGTGTACTGCATATTGTACGTGGCAAAACCAGCTGCAGATCTCTGATGGCATATTCCGCTGGCAGTGATCACAAAGTTCACAAAGATCGCTTTTGGTGCAGTGGTGCGCAGAGCGTGCTCCAAGTATTGTATGGGCTTGATTTCACTGACCTACATTAGAATATAAAAATGTGTCAAGTAGGTTAACTCTGCTCTTGTCACGCAACGCTACCAATAGTTTATTATATCCGGCACAAGGTCTTCGAAAAAAGTAAGCTGCGATTCTGTTATATCGCTACAGCGCATCGTTACATTGAACCAGACGCAGACATTGTTAGCTAGTCAGTGTGCACTAACATACGTTATTCATCAATTCTCAAGAGAAATATATTAGTTAACACTGTGAATTAACAATACGAGCCCCTTCCCACTTCAGTTGGCCCAACTATTGAAATCTTAGTTTTTTCTTATCAAACACAAATAATAAAAATGTAGCAGGGTGTTATAGGTTTAAAATATTAACAATGAATATTATGATAACATATAGTAGAAAACACCAACTTTATCACTCCCTAATCAAATTTGCAGCATAAAAATAACATGTTGCAATTACAGCATATCAACCTATTTTCATTTCAATGCAAAATAAGTCTATAACGCATAGGTGGCTGTGAAAAATAAAAGCCATGACAATTGTTTTTATCAATCACAGCTGTCAGAATACGTTCAAAATAGTTTTGGGTAGTTAAGGTTTTCAAAATGGGTAGAGGAAAGGTTATTAGTGAGAAAATTCGGTTACTGATAATTAAATTTTTTAATTCTGGGAAATCAAACTCAGAAATTGCAACTTTGTTAGACTTATCGCGGTACAGTGTGAGAAATATCGTTAGAAGATATAACGTAACCGGTTCAGTTAATATTAAGCCACGATATGTGAAAAAAAGTAATATCACAAATGCCGACCGAAGAGCATTAAGAAGAATAATCATGAAAAACAGGCGTGCCAATTATTTACAATTAAGTGCTCTGTGGAGTGACGCTGTTGGAAGGAGAATTTCGAGGTCCACAACTCATCGAGAGGCCCACAAACTGGGATTTAGCACTTGCAAGGCAAGTTTTCTTATAAAAAAGTGAAGTAAAAACCCTAAAGTTGCACAACTTGCTTATAGGCCAAAGAAAAGCCACTATTAACTCCACTGCAAAAGAAAAATCGGCTTAGATGGGCTAAGGAACATAGACAATGGACACCTCAGCAATGGTGTGCAATACAATGGAGTTATCCCAAGTTTGTGTTGGTGACAGTCGCAGTACAGTTATTCGTAAAAAAAATGAAGCATTCCATGTTGCCTGTCTGAAGAGAAAAGTGAAATTTCCAGCATCCATTATGGTCTGGGGCAGTATATCATCAAAAGGAGTAGGATAACTTCATTTTATTGATGGAAATGTGGATACAAACAAATATTTGGCAATTTTGGAAGAATTGCTTTTACCTGTGATGAAGAATGTTTGTCATCCGGCCAAGATTTTGTGTTTCAGCAAGATGGTGCCGCGTGCCATACCTCAAAAAATGCAATAAAATGGATGGAAGAAAATAATGTACTACTTTTGAAATGGGTTTCTAGCAGTCCAGATCTGTCACCTATTGAAACTTTGTAGCACGAGATGAAAAAGGTTCTACAACAACATCCTGCTCGTACAATCACCGAACTGAGACAAAAGCTTCAAGAAATATGGCATTGTTTTACGCCAAATTTTTGCCAAAACTTGGTTAACACTATGCCCCAAAGTATTTCAGCCGTAATAAAAAATAAAGGTGATGTTACCCAATCGTAAACTTTCAATTGTTGCTTTGTTAACTTCGCGCATTTATTCGCACATTGTTTATTTGTTCAGATGTTCTATTAGTTATAGGTCTAAGTTATTTCAAATATGTATTTTTTACGACTAGAGTATCTAAAATTTTTTTGAGAAAATAAATTGTTTTAGAAGTAAATAGTTTCGTCATGTTTAGTTTATAAAGGCATATTTTGGTACAAATCTTGAAGTGGGCCAACTGAAGTGGGAAGGGGCTCGTATATGCGGTGGCATTGATGGTCCAGGATGAGAGCTAATATACATACAGCTTACATTTGATACATTTATTACACAATCGTAACCTTGCCAGACTCAGCGTCCAGTTCGCCACAGGTTTGTTCCTGAAAAAACCGGAATATAACCAGTCACTTCTAAAACGTAAGATCACGATTAAACTGATTTTTTTCGTGCTTTGTCCATAGCTCCGCCGCCACTGGATAGATTTCCAAAACATCCATTTTCGTGCCTGCCATAGTAGTTTTCTTGTGTAAAAATTCTATCAATATATACGAAGTTACATATAAAATGCAACACCCAGAATTATCTATTGAATTTTGATAAAAATTTGCAAACATATTTGCTATCATGGAAGTTACGCTGATAAAATTTTAAAGGCATTCCTAGCCGTACTTTTTTTGTAAAGGCTTTTTTTGTCATATCAAGATCCGAACAATATGAACATGTTTACTTCGTATTCAGTAACTTTTCTGTGTTGGTTCTATTTGTTTCATTATTGTTTCATTGCATTATCACGCCTAGAGTTCGCAGACGCGCTAATTTCACTCAACTTTCCGAGTTTGAGAGGGGTCGGATAATCGGGTTACGTGAAGTCAGTTTTTCTTTTAGAGAAGTCGCTAATTGGGTGAATCGAACCGAAGCTATTGTGATGAGCTGTTGTCGAACGTGGTTCCAAGAAGGCCGAAATCGACGAGTTAGAGGCACTGGCCGTCAAAGACGATACAGAGCGACAGGATCGTTATTTGAGGCAACTAGCACTTAGAGATCGATTTTCAACAGGGGCAGTTGGGAACCAGTGCAGTGGTTTGATCCCGTTGGAAGAGCAATAACAATGAGGACAGTCAATCGCCGAATAAGGTATTTTGGACTGCTTTTATACAGTCTTGTACTCTGACCCCACAGCATCGTCGGCAACAATTGGTATGGAGTAGGGAGAGACTTGAATGGAATATGGAATGGATGCCAGTCGTGTTCAGCGATGAGTCCAGATTCTGTTTGGGCACCGATAACGGCGGAGCAAGAGTATTGGTGAAAGACGCGGAACGTCCAATATTCCATTAAACGGCATATTCATCACACTGTGGGTGTTATAGTATGGGATGCCATTGCTTACGGCAGCAAGTCACGATTAGTGTTCATTCGAGGTAGTATTACTACCCAGCGCTATATCCACGAAGTTTTACAACCACATCTGCTTCCGTTTTTGGAAACATTGCAAGATCCACTTTTTCAGCTGGACAATGCACAACCTCATCTCGCGCGTGTTAGTTTACACTTTTTAGAAGCGTCCGAAGTAGATCTGTTTCAGTAGTCTACTCGATCTCCAGACCTTTCCCCCATCGTACAACTATGTATCGGAGGTGATGGGAAGAAAGTTGCAAAATTCACCGCACCCTCCATAATCATTAGCGGCTCTACGAAACCAAATTTAGATGGTGTGGGATACAATACGCCAAGAAGACAATTATCACCTAATCCATTCAATGCCGCGACGACTTAACGAATGTGTAGCGAACAGAGGAGCTTCAACACATAATTAACAGTAAGGCTTAGCTATTTAGCGAAATTTCGAGCTGAAATTTTTTATCACTTTCTATTTATCAGGAGACCTAAAGCTTGTAAAAGTATACTCAAAATTACATACACTAGTCGAAAGGTTGGGAAATCTCGAAACTGGAGATGCTACAGACCAAAATATGTGAATTGACCTAAACATATCTTAGTCCAAAAGTTGATAGTTTACGAGATACAGTTTATCAAAGTTGCAACTTTATTTTCTATTTTTCCTTATTGCTTGAGAACTATTTCAGATTTTGGCATATAACTCGGTATATGGAGGTTTTTTACTACGAGTAACAAGAATCCGTTATTTGTTATGGCCAAACTTCTAGAGGGCGCCACGCTATTTCGGTAAATAACTTAGTATAGAGTTTTTGTGCTACCCTGAATACAACAAGATCTTATTTTCTCGTATTTCTACAACAAAAACGGTTTACTTGTTAGAAGTATTCCAATGCATTATTTGTACCATGATGATAAAACATTTTTATAACATAATAATCAAGTTGCTTTGGATAATATCTGAGTAGCGTTGCTATGGTTTCTAATGTTTTTCATAATATCGCTTTAAACTTCAGGAATAATTTTAAGTTGACAATAAGTTGCTAAATATCATGGAGTATACGTTTGATGAATATTGTGATATGCATTTAATGTACTGATTGGCAAGATGTAACGCTTTAAAAGCACGAAGATTGTACGCTGACAGATTCCCTAATAGAGACCTGCCTAATTCAAAGACTTTCCAACGAATCGATCAGCGGTTACGAGAAACTGGTAAGAAATGATTATAACATTATTTTGAGCAGTAAAAACCATTTGGATTTTAGGTAGTTTTGCTCAAAATATGGGCCGACATAGTGGAGCTCCCAGAACTGTACGTGCAGCTGAAATTGAAGAAAAATGCTCTCTTTGAAAATCCTACAGTTGGGGTTAGGAATGTAGCTCGATAATTTCAAGTTTCCAAATGTACAGTAAATACCATTTTTCAAGAGCAACTGCTCCATCCATACCAACTACATGGTTTAAGCGCGGATGATGAACCCGCAAGGGTAGAACTTTGTACATGGTTCTTAAGGAAGTTTAACCACGACCATGGTTTTACTTCGTTAATATTATTATCGGGGGAAGCAAGATTTGAAAGGGATTGGCCCATTAACTCGCATAATCTTCACATTTATTTAAACGAAAATCCTCATGCAATATTACAAACCCGCCACCAAGTACAATTTCAAATTAATTTATGGGCAGGAATAATTGGACAATATTTAATAGGACTCGTTGAGTTGCCACCTAGACTGAATGGCCCAAGGGATTTACAATTTCTTGAAGAACAATTACCGCCACTCTACTGGAAGATGTTCCATTACAAAGACGCATGGATATGTGGTTTATGCACGACGGCACTTCACCTCATTATAGTACTGTAGTTAAAGAGGACCTAAATAGAATTTATCCAGACCAGTGGATAGGCCGATGAGGACCTGTATCGTGGCCGGCTGGACCACCAGATTTAAATCGTATGGATTTCTTCTTCTGGCGATATTTAAAACGACGCGTTTATAATACGTCTGTAGAAACAGTAGATGATCTTCGACAAAAAATTTTCCACCATAGCTAGGCAATGGAAAGTAACAACCAAATGATTTGGAGAGTGCAGCAAGGATTAGTTCGTCGAGCTCGAGAGTGGTGCTCATTTTGAACAATTTTTGTAGTTATTATTTCTGTTTATTAGTTTTGTTGCCATCCTCATTTGTTATTGTTAAAAGCCATAGCAACGCTACTGAGATATTATCCAAAGCAACTTGATTATTATGTTATAAAAATGTTTTATCATCATGGTACAAATAATGCGTTGGAACCTTTAAAAATAAATACCTTGAAAACTATTAGCTTTAATCACTTCTAACAAGAAAACCTTTTTTGTTGTGAAAATACGAGAAAATAAGATTTTTCGGTCAGTTGTTGTATACAGGGTAGCACAAAAATAATAAGTTATTTACTGAAATAGTGCTGTAAGTGTCGCCCTCTAGAAGTTTGGTCATTCAAAATAACGGATTCTTGTTTCTCATACTAGAAAACCTCCCTATACCGAGTTTTATGTCAAAATCTGAAATACTTCTCAACCAATAAGGAAGAATAGAAAATAAAATTGTAACTCTGACATCCTGTATCTCGCAAACTATTTATATTTTGGTCTGTAGTATCTCCAGTTTCGAGATTTCCCAACCTTTCGCAGACACCCTGTATAGCGGCGGCCAAGGACTAGCGGACAGAACGACAGATATAAAGACAAACGGAAATGAGTGACATGGTTTTTCGTGATGTAAGTTGCTTCACAGTATACAGGGTCTCATACAATTTTGTTTGGTACATTCAAGGACAGATACAGCGTTTGAAAATAGGAAAAAAAGTTCATACTATGATAGCATGTGTCCGGAAATTAACGGTCTTCGTTATACTGAGTGTTTAGTCTTTACCTGTAGCGAAAACTTCGGTTCAGTTCGATTTTTCCAGTTTTCGCAAATTTCGTTAAACAGACAAGTTGGCGCTTACTATTTACTATAATCATAAATAAATTGAGGCATTGATTAATAATATGATTTTATTTCAACAAACACCACAAGAGGTTCTTCTTGAGTAGAATTAATCTGACTTTAGATACTCATACTGTTTCTATGCAAAAACGGGTGATTGGTATTTCGCTGAACATAGAGACTCAGCGACACAAACGCTACTGATGTAAGTGCTTTAGAAAACAATTTTGTTCATAATAGTGTGACCTTCAATAATAAATAGCACATCAATATCTCAATCTGTTTTCGAGAAGAATATAGTAAACAAATGTAGTAAGTAACGAAACTTTTTAATATTCTAACCGGGCCGAATCTGCCTTTCAAGTGAATGGAAAAACTGAGTTATTGTTTGTAAGTAGAAATAAATCAAGAAAAAAATATATACCTTAGTGTTGGACTTCCCCGGTAGGACGAACAAAGCATGGACATGTCCAAGCTGGTATACTTCAGACAACAATTCTTGGAACCCTTCTTTGGTGTGTGACTTGCTTGGTGCCATTATAATATCAGCCTGATAATAGGACTGCAGAAGGGAGAGTCGCCTATTTAGACTATTCACTTGAGGTTTCGCATCTGAGGACACCACAATCTAGAAACAATGAGTAAGTGTTCGTAAGGTGGATAGAGTATGCTATTTGTAAGGACAATTTATCTAAAAGTCGTAGTTATTGCCATGCAATAACAAATTCTTTGTACTCACACGAACACCCATCGAACGCGTCATTATTTTGATAATTCGGTTTCTCGCCTTAATGACTTCGGCTATCGACGTTACAATTATACTACGAGCTGAAAACAAGCCGAGAGCTTTCAAGTAAATGAAGTATCTATTATTTTTCTTAAATTTCTTTACTGTGAAATAATATATAAGAATTTTATATCCCACAAAGACAAAAATTATTACTTTATTTCCTTTTTAGATTAAAATACCGGTAATGTTCCTGGGAAAGCCAATATGTAGTTCATTATACAGCCAATCAAAAAATGGACAGGTAGAATCTCAAAAATATGGTTTTTAGTTGTAAAGTCGCGTATATTGTAGGGTAAATGTGGCAGAGATGCCGCAGTGGGGCAGACGACGCACACCGAGTTTAAGCAACACCGGTGCATTTTACAGAAAGCTTATTTTCTGCATGCGATTAGTTGAAAATTAACCTCAAAAATCGTACGCGTCTTTAGAAATTTAAACAATTGTGCATTTCTGTCAAAATAGTAGACTGGTAAGTAACAACATTTTTTCAGTATCTAATATTCTTAGAGTATTTTCACCGATTTGGTTTAAATACATTTTTAATTCATACGTACGATAGATTTAAAATAACTAAGGTTATGTTCTTATAGGTTCTAACTATTGTAACTGTCTCTCCCATATAAAAGGGGTAGATGCCGTAAGGAATCTTGGGAGAGATGACGCAATTAATAAGTGCAATATTCTTTCAGATATGCTTCGTAAATACATATATACGAAAATCTCATAGAGGGACATGGGCCCAAGAACAACTTAGTACAGCTCAACGTTTAATACGAGAAGATGAAATTTCTATAAGACAAGCAGGCAGAACATACAAGAGAGAACACTAAGAAGAAGTCTAGCACAAAATAAATTTGACAAGGGACTACAAGGACCATCTTCGTATCTTGGTCAAAGATATAGAAAAAGGAAGATTTCTGAGGAAGAGCACTCAAGCAAAAAGAAGAATTTAATATTATTTTTCATAAGTCATCTCTCCCACCACGTGTGCGGCAACTCACCCATAGCATGTGGGAGACTTGGCCAAATACTTAGTAATAAATAGTACGTTTTCATTTGTTTTTTTTATAGTTGCTTTTGTGTAGGTATTTTTCATAAACAAATATTCTTAAAGTACGCCTGCGATTTTAATTTATTTTTATCGGATAATATACGTATAACCATTATGAAAATTTTTTAAAACATGCGATACCTCTCCGACATTTACCCTATCGGTTTTTAAATTATCGAACTTCAATATTTGCTAAATTTTTCTAAATATTTTGGCGTTACGAGGAACGGCCCATAAGAAGGCCATTTTCGTCTGTTCAAAATGTCTTTATTCATTATAAAACTTGATGACAACTTCAAACATGGTCATTCTTCATTCAAATTCTTCGTATTACTATAGTGTTCAAGTGATGTATATTATTTTTCGTGAGTATATCTTATAAGTATTTAATGTTTCTATTTTATGGTAGACCCTAGTATGTATTTTAAGTAATATAATCAGTTATTTTTATCACAACGACTGATCTAACTACAGATCTGTCTAACTTCTTGTCGTTTTCTTTTATAAATTGCAATTGATTCATCGCCATCTTTACCTGGACGATAAATGAACCCAGGCATGTTGGAGAATGTCTTTTTTAAAGTGGTGATGGCCTTATTCAAAGTAAAGCGCCTGTAAAATCTTTTTCTCAAAATCTCTGATCATTTATCTGGAATTTAATCAGTCAGACAACAGTAGGATAAGTTCCGCGAAAACCTTGTTCTCTTAGAAATTATCATTTTGGTATTCAGGAAAAGGTAACCCGTTGTTAAGCTCTGTGGCTAAAATAGCTACATCTGAGTCATCTTGTACCTTTCTAGCACCATGGAAAACAAGCCATTCCACCAGATCGGTCCATGTCTCTGCAGTACCTCCATAAACTACATAGCAGCTCTTAGCACTGCAGGCAAACTTGTTAGGTTGATTCACGTTCAAGCGGCTTGGTTTCAAGTATTCGCCTACTTTAATCACGATTTTGTTAATGTTGGAGACGTCCTTCATTTCACTGAAAATATATTGCACATGAAATATCACCTTGTTCATTATAATGCTGAAACTATGATTGATCTAGTTTGGAAGGATGACATTTAATATCATTTAGACCTCTTAATTTTGAGACCTGAAAAAAATGTTTCGGACTTACCTTAGCATCCCTGCAACATTAAAGTGCTCCACAACTTCGTTTGGTCCAGGTCTGACAAACCAACTATCCAAACCCTTGTAAACTAGCTTCTTTATTTCTTCTTTAACTTCTTTAGGCTGATGGAACACATTTTCTAAGTTCACCGTTTCAAATGTGGTATTCCTGAAAAACAAATATCCAGAATAATATGTGGGCATCAAAACCGTATCTGAAGTGTGTGAGACGATCCGGATAGACAGTCAGAAAGTAGAACGCCCTGTAAAAATGCTTTTATTTGAATGAGATTTTATATGCAGCTATACATAGATAAAAGGAAGTTCTGGTTAAACTATGAGGAGAGAGCATATGCTGTATCGCTGGATTTCCCTGATAATGAGATGAGATGTGTGTGTGTGTGTGTGAGAAAGAGAGAGAGAGGAAATGATCATGCGGAGAAAGGTATATAACAAAAAGTAGGAAAATAATGGGCAAAATCTGCAAAAAGGGGGGAAAATGGATTCGAAAAGTAGTACACATGCCCACACATCCAGGGGTGTAACCTGAGGAAACGAAGATGGAGACGGAAACAAATCGACACAACAAGAGCAAACCTACACATTGTAGTACATCACGCGGCCGGTTATCGCCACTTGCTGTGGTACTTCAAGCCCAAAGGTTCTACAAAGAGAAAATGATCATGCGGAGAAAGGTATATAACAAAAAGTATGAAAAAAAATTGCGGATTTTGCCCATTACCTTCCTACGTTTTGTTATATACCTTTCTCCGCATGATCATTTTCTCTTTGTAGATCCTTTGAGCTTCGAGTCGTTTTATACTACAATGTGTAGGTTGGTTCTTGTTGTGTCGATTTTTTTCCCTCTCCATCGTCGTTTCCTCAGGTTACACCCGTATCCGGATGTGTGGGCATGTGTATCTACTTTTGTAGTTGCATATGTGCATTCATTTCGGGCCTGATGAAGCCAACCAGGAGAAATACGTATAGCTCGGGTCACCTATCCTATTTTCTGCTCGAATCCACTTTCCTCCTTTCTGTGGATTTTGCCCGTTATTTTCCTATTTTTTGTTATATACATTATATATATATACATATATATATATATATATATATATATATATATATATTCGTCCAAGCTTCTGAGTAGGTGATATGTCTTTTTGAAGTTACTCATTCCAACCTAGCAGTACTTGGCTCCGAAAAGCTGGTTGCGTTTGTTGAGGATGAGGTAAAGATGTCACTCTTCTTGCTTAATAGACGAAACGTATGGAGTTGTAGGAGGCCATCGAATGAAATCGAGTTAAGCGTTATTGAGATAGTTAACTGTCGCTCTAGTAATATGGATATGGACATCCTCGTGTCGGAAAATATGGCTGTAAAGCGTTTGGAGAAATCGCAACTCCTGGTGCATGCGACGTTCAACTGAACATAAGACTTGTCATCAAATAAACCATCACAATTTTCTCGGTCTTGGTTTTATTTGCGTACGCATTAGAGGCAATATGATGATACAACGGTATATTTAGGAAGTTCTGGTACGATATCTTGCTATTTCTCCAAGTACTTTGGCTCGGTAATGTTCATGTCAGACACCTTGACCTCCTGGATATACAGACCTTTCGCCAATCAAACATATGCGTGATGTGATGTGAAGAAGATTAACGCTGGCAACTCTTAAGAACCAAGTGCAGCTAGCCTAGACCGGAATATCTCAGAAGCAGGAGCCGAATTCAGGGTAATGAAATTGGTTGATGCATACTACGAGTATATGTTATCGTAAACGTGGTAAAATGAATTTTGGAGCGATTTTTTTATCTTAAATAAAGTTCTTATACATTGAGTCGCTTGTAACTCACAAACCAAGCATCAAAAGCCTGTAGTATTTTATACGAACCTTGTTTGGTAAGGGTCTATTCAATTATATAATATAACATATTTAAAAAATGTCAAAATATCTTCATCTAAATGTCCTATATTTCATTTCACATTCAGATAGACCGCTTTAAAAGAAGAATATTGATATAACATACATACATTTTGGTTAGTTGGCGAGTTATAAGTGATTGAATGTACCAACACTCAATAGAGGGCTTTAAAATGAGGTATCACGACCTACCATACGATTTAGAAAAAAGTTTCAAAATCTCGAAATTTTTAACTACCACTTTTAGGCTAAAATATTGTATCTATGCATCAATTCCATGATTTAGAATTTCAGTCTGCTAACTTGGCCCAGGATACAGCATGTTTTCACTTCAAAATTTAATCACGATTTTATTTAATTTTCCCTAACTGTAAATTAAAATTCGTTATTTTTTGGTCGGTGAGTAGATTTAGTCTTAATGCCAACATAACCAAATATACGTTTAAGCTTACTTCAAGAAACAAAACATTCCAATTGAGTTTCCTTCCTCCAAGTCGTATTTTCCGTAATGAATAAACCTTCCCCATTCAGCAATACAAGCCAAGGTACTTGTGAGCAGATTTCCGGAAATACAGTTTAGGATCACCTGCGCACCACGGCCTTGTGTTGACGACATGAACCTTTCCTCGAAAGTGTTGTCGGTGCAGCTCAGAATGTTATGGTCACTCAACTGTAATTTGAAAAACTAAGTTAGAGGAAAGGAACCAAATTTGAGACACGCGCCTAATTTGAGACAGTGGTGTAACTTTGTATCTTTGTAGCACCATATTCTAGTAATACCAAAACGTTGTGAACTAAGACGCATTAGTATTCTACATATGTTTGCAGCTTAGTTTTGCACATGGTTTGCTGTGACACCACAACTTTTTACTTCTTGAGAGTTAATAATATTTTTAATAGTGTGACAAAAGTGATTACTAAAATTAAGGTAAGTTACTTAGAACAGTCGTCTGATATAAATTTAGTAGGTGACAAATAGCTTTCTATTTTCTTTTACAATATTGAGATTTTATTAGGTATATAACATAAATATACGTGTGTAAAGTTTTTAACGGAAAATTCCTAATTTGAGATACCCAAGTGTACAGCTGTAATAATAATAAGGTGGCAAAACCTTATACAACAATGTTGAAGAATTTGGATTTTCTGCTTCATTTCCTTCCGTATATAAATGTTTAAAATAATTTTATCTACCATACACATGGAAGGCAACAATCGGTTTCCATATCGTGGCAGAATTCACACACTAAAACCGCTTTCCTGAGTCGTGGCAGAGCCCGTTGCCTCAAATCTGTTGCCATTATACGAGGTACTTTTTGTTCTAGGAATGCTGCTACTTTTCAAATAATCTGGCACATCTTGCAGCATCAAAACTGAATAGAATTTCACGCTAAATTGTACTAAAATATTTACTATCAAGTATTTCTATTCTTCAACCCTTAGGAGACTGCACATTTCTGTTTACGAAGGTTTAGTGCAAATTGAACTTACGAAAGAGTATCGTTGTCTAAGTATGGCTCTTTGGAGGTCAGTTGCTACGGTGGTGTAGACTTCACATCCCATCACATGAGCGATGGAAATGACAGCCAATCCAATGGGAGTACAGCCACCGTGGATTAACACCGTTTCACCAGGTTGTACATTAGCTTTCGTCACCAACATATAGTATGCCTAAACCAAAGAAAAATATGCAAATAATACTCTTAAAATCGATCACACAAGCCAATAAAAGGACATCAAATATTAGAAAGAATAAAATGTTATTATAATTCAAATTATGGTGGAAGGGCAGAAAACTAGTATTGTTCAAAATTGCGACACATTCACCAATTTTAAACAACATACACTATAATCAATTTATAAACTGTGATTTCCGGTTGATCCAATGAAAATGAGCCTGCAAATCACGTGTTGAGAGGCTATTTCGGTGAATAATGGTCGTATAGACAATTAAAAAAGCATGTTTAAGCTTTAAGATTCTAGTTTTCAGGCTTGTTAGCCGAAACATTTTAGGAACAACAGTTCTCATGAAATTTTTATAGATAGAGCAAGAACATTTTTTCCAAAATTTTTGCCTTCCTTTTTTAGTCCACGGGATTGAACAAATGTTTTTCTATTAGGCCATCATATGGATAGGATAACATGTATTTTCAGATTCGATATTATGACATTCAAATCTCGATAATCTGTTTATTCAGCTTCGATGTTATGATTTTGAAATCTCGATACGATCACTTGGCGCGGAGATATCTGACTTTTAATGAAAAAGGATACGTTTGTCGTCAACCACTGATATCGCGGTAACCACTGATCGTATAGAGAATGAAAGAATATTTCCCTTACCCTTACATTATTCTCTGTACAACACTGGTTACCGACATATCAGTGGTCGATCACAAAAGGTTCCTTTTTCATCCAAAATCGGATATCTGCACACCAAATGATCGTAAAGAGATTTTAAAAACAGAATATTGAAGCAGAATAAACGGGTTATCTGATCCACATGATGACCTAAGAGAAAAAAATTTCAAGCCCGTGGACTAAAAAGAAGAAATCAAAAATTTTGCCGTAACTTTAGCAAGATTATAACTAATATTGGCAATTTACGGTAACGGTGCGCTGGAGCTACGGCAAGTTTATAATTCGACCTTAATATTTCAATGAACTGCTACCCGCGAGTATATATGGTCTGAGTATGGTTTCTACTTACGCTGACATAAGCATGTGGTAAAGTAGCAGCATCTTCTAAGCTACATCTTTCTGGAACTGTCCATTGGAATATTGGATCATCCACCAGTTGAGAACTGTTTTCGTCTAGATAGGCTAATCCCATAACCCTCTCACCTGTTTTAAAAAACAAAGGGAATATCGTATTAGTATGGAGGAGTCAGTTTTCTGTATTAAGTACAAATCTTAAATACAGCTTTATTAGATTTTTTTATTTTTTTGAGGTGGTGATGGTATGAATATTACATCGAAAAAGTAATCTAGTTTCAGATTTTGGATTTTTAGCATGAAGTGCATTTCCATAAGTTTCTTGTAACTTTTAGTACCTATAGAGATTGATGTTAAACTCTTACCACTACTTGTGACTGCAGAATAGTCAATGTTACCGACATAATTCTTTTTCACCTTTGCAGGGTTCAACGTCTCGTCCTTAAGATTGACACTCAGATACTTGATCGTCTTGTTTCTGAGAACGTTCGTGCTAGTGTGTTTCAAATCAACAAGCGTCTTGAACTTGAGACTAAGTGGGAAGTATGCGTATAGTACACCATCCTGGAACAGAAAGGAATATATTTATTTGGAAATGCGGCAATATTTACGGTGTTCCAGATCTTATAAATAAACGTTCTAAAGGACTTTCCTTCAGAAACACTTTCTAAAATAACTTTTAATAACACATAATATCTCCAGGAACTGATCAGGTCGTACGCAACATTGGCAAGCTTGAATAAATGCACTCTTGATTGGTATTGGTGTGATGAGCCATTTTTGAGAAAAACATTTTTGCTTTAGTACAATTCTATCAATTTCGTTTATCACCGGATATATCGGTTCCGCCATTTTGCAAATATAGTTTTTTTGATAATGGATTTCTAATCAGTGCTTCGAAAAACCTCAGGAGACAATGTTTCAATTCACTTATTCGAGTTTTGCCACACTTTTTGTGAATCGATACGAAAACTATTGAAACAAAACAGTTTTATTCAAAAATTGATCATTTTGTCGAAATCACCCAGGAATATGTGTTTCCAGCTAAAGGATTGGGCTCTCCAAAGTATTATTTTCGGGCCACTGTCATACAAGCTATAAAAGGTCAATATTGTGTTATGGATAATATGAACGAGAAGATCGTTTTCCATGGACATCATCATTTAAACTAGTTACGTACTATGTCGTGAGTATTTCGTTGATTACATAGTATCTCTTTCAGAAGTGGTCTTCTTCTTTTAACATTATTCCTTGTCTACCCTTTGCGGCTAGGTTTAATTTCTTATTAAGAAATTGGTCATTTGATATTATAGATATATTGAATTATTACTGGCGAATATAAAATTCAGTATATTACCACCAGTACTACACAGCTGGTCAGAAGTCAGAACACCACCTGGAGTCGAGTAAATTGACATCAAATTGGTTGTCATCCCAGTAGGCTGCAAAAGGTTCAGTTAAAGTACGTATTTAGTTATTTACCTTGATGACGGAGACGGTCATATTCTGCTTTACCACCTGTTGCAGATCGTACTGTTTCTTATCCAAATTGAAGACGAACTTGACGTGTTCAGTGTTAGGCTGCGCCTTCACTTCTTGTACGAAGTTCCTGTAACCTTCCATGGGAATCTGGTTGGCGATCAGGAACACAGGATGTTGCTTCTGGGCGGACTCCTTAGCTGCAGTGAATAGCTCTGTTGCCCATGGGCAGGACGAACGCTTCATATCGTTTAAGCTCAATGTGTCCCCTTGGACTTGGATCATTTTTGCTGGCAGGGTATTTGTCTAGTAAAATTGAAGGATATTAAGACCAAATGAACAATCACGTGTACTAATCTCTTTAATATAGGGGGACTTCAAAATTGAAACAGAAATCCGTGATAACTACTGGAGGTAAGAATGCGGTCATTTATTACTTGATACTGTTTTTAAAATAAAGAAAATTGAGGAAACGTTCTAAGAGCAGTAGGGTCTTTCTTCGACGGGAATTCAAATCAGTTAGTTCATTTCTAATGCTCTTATTTCGAATACGATTTTCTGTAACAAGCGAGGGTAAAGCTCCATTGAAATAAAGCTATTTTTGAACTAGCTTGACTTGTACCTGTGTATGTATGTACGTGACAACAATTGCTTGACTTACAATGTTGATAAGAACATTTAAGACATTTAAATGCGACCTTGATTTTATAAATTTATATAATGAATTGATACACAAAACAGATATCATAAAATGTTTGACCCTTTGATCATAAATTAGATTTTACCATTAATGTAGATAAATTTCCACTCAACTAGCAAATATTTCCTTCGTTATAAGCACACTTAGTAGGAAAAAGCACAGCCTTAAGCAGTTACTTTGCCTTATTTGAAAGTAGTTTGAGATATACCATTCCCTTTTGGTGTGTGTGCTCCCAACATTGTTTTAAAAAGGTGCTTATTTTACTAAAACGAACTATTAGATATTTAACAAAAAGCGGCCCTAGAGCTACAAGCAGGCATTATATCTTAATTTTTTTTTTATACTCCAACTACCACGAAGGCCTAAGGCCTAAGCACCCATTGGGTACCGTGGGGCTATAGGGGGATACATGGGAAAAGGGGGGACGCCACACGGACTCTGGCGAGGGAACACGTGTGCATGCAACATGCACACATTCTGGCTCCGCCTACGAGAACCGCCGGGTGGTACCTCCGCGTTCGACAGTCAGAGACCATCTACCACCTACGGACAATTACAACATCCATAGCCAAGAGAAAAATTTCTCCTGGGACGGGACTCGAACCCGCACAGCGCACGGCGACTGATCAGGAGACCGAAGAGTCTACTACTGCGGCCACCGCAAATAATGACTATCATTGTTTATTTTAGAAACAGCAACTCATATTTCTAAAAATGAATCTAAATTTGAAAGATTAAATATTAAGATCTTGAATTGATAATACCTAATGCATACTTGTTAAATACTCAATATGTAATTCATAAGGTCTGAAAATTTAAATGTTTGTGTCTCCCTGATGCTATCAAGAAAATTAACAATGTAAAGATATTCTGCCGTGAATTTGAAAACTGTAAACTATATTATACCTTTATATCATTGAGAATGTTTGTATTCTTCACACAATAAAGCATACTCGTATTTATCTATCTATCTATGTATGTAACGGGATCTGTGAAAAATTTTCACAGAGGTCAACAGCCGACGATAAATACAATAAACTTGGAAAAACATCGGATTTAAAAAGTTTTAAAAATTTTATTTTGAAATTTGGAAAAAGTTGGATATGAAAAACTGGAAAATAATTGGAAAATTCGTAAATTTGAAAATAATTTGAAGATTTTGAAATGTTGAATAAAACTTGGAAATTCTGAAAAAGATTTGGAAATTTCGAAATTTGGAAATAAATTTAGATATACCTGTATTATTAAAATTCAGAAAATCATATATAGTTTCAAAAAAACTATAAAAACACGATTTAATGACAAATCGGACTAAAAGGTAGATAATTATTTTCAACTTGGAATAAGATCAATATAAAAATTATGATATTAACAAAAAGATGAAGTTATAGTAAAGAAGCGTGGGGTGCAATTAACAATATTTTCTTAGTAGCTCCAATTCTGTAAATAGCAACTAAAAAATTAATTCTTACGCTTAATATCAAGCATTTCTTTACTATAATTTATATCATATAATATCAGAGTTTTTCTATTGATCTTATTCCCAATTAATTAGTCAATCTTGATTGTTGGACTTCCTATTGTGGTATCACAAACTCTCCTATACTTTTATTTTTTAGTTCGATTTGCTATTAAAGTGCGTTTTTCAGTTTTATAAACTATAACCTATTCAATAATAATAATTAAACCCCACTATTTGAACAATTTCAAGTAAAATAATTTCGGTGCGCTTCCTTTAAACAAAATTCCGAACTCTTTGACTGTAAAGTCTTATTGCGGTAAATAGTTGAGTTTTACCTTTTTGAAAATAGAGTAGCTATCATTTCCAACGGTGAACTGTGCCACCTGGATCACATCTGGATGTGCCAACGCATTCTTGTCAGTTTTTGAAAGCAGGTATGCTGGTGATTTTGCAATGAGGGCGTAAACGTCTTCTGGTGCAGTTCCATTCACTATGATCAGTTGTGGGTATATTTGCTGAATGGTAATTTCTTTGGTCTCGGTCACTGTTGTTAAATTGGCCTGAAAAGAACAATAAAATTATTTGCGAATGAGTGGATGGCTAGACTGTCTTGAATCTATATCCACTCTAGACCCCAAAAACAGCTTTTTTATTGAGTTGTTGCAAATATTATGTTCATGCTATACATTATGGTTCAAAAATTATTCAACTCAATTCATGAACGGATGATGGCGTTACATGGGAAGTGCAGAGTCATCCTACTTGACGACACTATTTTCATACATGAGGTAAGCCGACTCAGTATATCCTACTATGAAAGTACACGAGCATCCTGAATACTCGGCAGCCTTGCATTTTTTCCAAAAAAGGTTCCAACAAACATTTCAGGATGATCATTAATGGCGTAGATAATGCAAAAAAGCAACCACCATCATTGATAAAAGATTCAGGTACGGCTTGAGATTTCCTCTAATCAGTATGACCTGAGATGTAACGTTTTAAGTACCCGAATATCACGAATATGCGGCAAGGATGCAATCATTGTCGATGACCGCAAATATGTCCTACCACCCTTTTTGCCAGCAGATTTGTGTGGAGCTTGAGAATCAGGGTGCATTTTCATACATAAGGTCAAGTGGTCATAAACGGTACAACCAGTATGACCTACTTACTATACCATTTGAAAAAATATAAATTTGGGTATTTTGTAGACTGAGGCCGCTGAATAAACATTTGAATTTGCTTATGCACTAATAAAGGGTCCCCTGGAAATTAAGGGAAAACATCAACAACTTAAGAAGTTGGAAGATATGTTTTTAAATTTTTATTATTAGTGAGGAGGTTATTGCAGTCAATTCTGCATATTGAGATATGCTTTAAGCTGAATATTTGAAAATGTACTTAAGCCTAAAGTGAAATATGTATCCATAATATGACCTTAAGAGCCCGAACACCCCTTGCGTTTACACTGATTCTATATTAATTCATCAGGAGAGAAGTAGCGCAAAAGAATTGGAGAAGTCACTGAGATACATCTTGGATTATTGTAACTCCTGCAATTTATTCTGTAGTTTTAATTCTTACGACTCCTTTGTCTGGACGAATCAAACGATATACATGTATATGTTTTAATTCCTCTTTATTGTACGATGCTGGATTGTTCCGAAATTCCAATATGCCACTTCTGGCACTGACTTCACTAAGGATTTACGCTCTTATAATATCTCTTACCTTCAGTAGAACGTTGGTATTAATCACATTTCTGACTTCGGTTTCCAGAGATGCGTTACTTAAGGCTTTGTATTCGGTTATGAACAGAGATTTTATTACATCTTCATTTGCTGTGTTGAATTCTTGCATTGACATCTGGAGAGCTAATTCAATACCCCTCTCGATTTTCTGGAAGAAGAATAGAATTTAAACTTATTGTTCATATAGTTGACGCTAACTTACATGGTAAACATCCAAAACATAGTTTTTATGTCGTTAGCAAGAGGTTTAAATCTCTTGCGATTAGCTTCAATAAACTGACAAACATATTATTTTGAAGACTCTGATGGGTCATAATGATAATTCTAAACCGCAGTATTCAAAAACAACTTTTCTGTAACATAATCTTCCATGGACTCTTTTGTAATGTGTGGTGTTATGCCACAATTTAGAAAAGCAGAATTTTTACGTACGATCTAACTGCAGTTTTATGTTTCATTTTCTCCCCAAAGTAACCGAAAAGCGTGGAAATCAGGTTTGGATACCTATTTCCATTTCAGTCAAGTATGTATTTTTCTGACAATAAAGCCTGCATATTCCCAATAAGTGAGATAACAGTTTTTGAATATGACAAGACTTATGCTGTGCCATGCGTACCTCGAATTGTGAGTTGTTGAGAGGCAGGTACTCCATAGCGCACATGTTCAACCTCTCACTAGGCGGGTCCAAGGGAATGGACTTGATGCCCATCACTTGCAGGCCATCAGTGGACAAAAGGTTGGTGTAGTACTCGTACTGGACCTTCACGTCAGTTTTTTCGGCCGGGATGTGTTCCATGGAAACAGCGATCTTCTGAATGGTTTTGATGACATGGACCTATTCAAAGTGTTCAAAGTATGAGTAAGAGTATAGAGCTTACTAGGGTTTTGAGAAGGCAGATTGCCTGTATAAATTTTAATGATAACAGTTTTATGGAAAAGTACTCCATCAGTTGAACTTTCATGTACTCGTTATCGGGCAAAATCTGACTTAGCTTTACTTCCTTTATAGCTTAGTTATTCACTTCAACTGTCGGAGTGTACAGGGTGAAAGTAGTTTCACAGAAAAACTATAAAAAATATTTAAAAACGGTTTTCGCAGTCACATGGATATTACATAGTTGTATATCTGTAGATTATTTAGAAATATGCAGGGTGTTGCATATATCCGTAGCACAACAAACATATGTTTTTTTTACAAAGACCTTCCTGAAACAAGAAGATTGATATGATATACATTAGGGTTTTGATCGTCATTTGTTTAGTTTTATATACAGGGTTATCCAAATTAAGTGTCCACCATTGGTAACTTTGTTATTAGTAAAAATACAAAGTTGTTTAAATTAGCAAACTAGTAGCATTTTTAACGCTGGTAAAAATGAGAAATAAAAAAAAAACAATTGAGAGTCGTTATTTTGATTTTTTTCAGTAAAATAACATTTTTTTAAATGGAAACCCCTGTATATTATATTTTTTTCTGTTAAAGCATCAAATTTTAAACAAAAAAGTTCATAATGACTTTTCCGCTAAAGTCAAAAATAAAGTCAAAATAACGATAAATATTTTTAATTATTTGCAGTATTATAATATTAAGACGGCTATGAAAACAACATGGCGTTCGCGATTTGACAGCATTAAGATAAGCGACAAATTGTTAAACTGGACATACTCGCAACTAGAAGGCTTTGGAAAACAATGATAAAATCAAATAATGTCAAACATTAGTGTAAATACTTGTTTATAAGCTTTATTGTGTCATTAATTTAAAGAAAAATGTTCTCCCATGAAGACAAGTGTGATATGTTAGAATGCTATTTAGTGTGCAGAAAATCCTCCTTGAGAGCAAGAGAATACTACAGTGAATTATATCCCGCTCGCATTCAACCGTATGAACGATATTTTCTGAGACTTTATCGAAAATTTAGGGGCAACGAAAATGTTTTTGCTAAAACAAGGGCAAAAAAAGAATTCATAATAAGCGAGGCCACGGAAATTGCAGTTATTGGATATTTTGAAGCTTATCGTGAGAATTCAATAGCAGATATTCTCAAGGACTCTAATTTCAGTTATGGTACTGTTCAAAGGATTTTAAAAAAATACAAATTTATTCCGTATAAGTACCGACCAGTTCAAACGCTTTTGGCAGGGGATCCAGAGAGAAGACTTGTTTTTTGCCATTGGTATCTTAGCTTCTGTCGCCAAAATGTAAATAACTTTCGTTACCTTTTATGGACAGATGAATCAAATTTTTCAAATTCTGGAATGTTTAATAGAAAAAAACACCATTATTGGTCAAGAGAAAATCTTTTGTTAGTACATCCAAGAGGCCCACAAGTCCGTTTCAGTTTCAACGTTTGGTGCGGTATAATTGGTTCAAAAATTGTTGGCCTGTTCTTTTATGAGGGAACCCTAACTGGTGAAAGATATGTGGAATTTATGTCAGAAATTCTGACTAATCTCTTAGACGAATTGGATCTTATAAGTAGACATCATCTGCATTTTCAGCAAGATGGCGCACCTGCCCACAACTCCAGAGGTACTTATCATTTTCTAAGTACTACTTTTAATGATCAGTGGATAGGAACAAATGGCCCAATACAGTGGCCTCCCAGATCACCAGATCTAAACCCACTTGATTACTTCTTGTGGGGTTACTTAAAGAACCAAATTTACAAGCGAAGGTACGATAACCTTGACGCGTTAAAGACTGCAGTTAGGGAAAAGATAACCCAGATAGATGGTAGGACCATACTTAAGACAGTTCGAGCAGTTGAAAAACGTACCCAAAAATGTATTGAAGTACAAGGTGGTGTTTTCGAGCATCTTCTTTAAAAAAAATTGTTATTGTATTTTGTAAGATTATAAGTTGATGTTGAAAATAAAGTTTGTCGATACAATTTAATTGTTTCAGATTGGAGGCCATAACTTCAACAATTTGTAACCTAGGAGAAAAGTTATTGTAAGCTTTTTTGTTTAAAATTTGATGCTTTAACAGAAAAAAATATAATATACAGGGGTTTCCATTTAAAAAAATGTTATTTTACTGAAAAAAATCAAAATAACGACTCTCAATTGTTTTTTTTTATTTCTCATTTTTACCAGCGTTAAAAATGCTACTAGTTTGCTAATTCAAACAACTTTGTATTTTCACTAATAACAAAGTTACTAATGGTGGACACTTAATTTGGATAACCCTGTATATACATATGCATATATAACGTGAGCAGTAGTCATTGCCATTGCCAACGACCAGTTGGGAAAAAAATACAATTAACTGTTAATTGGTAAATTTGCAAACCTTTTAGGCTTTAGTTAACTCTTTTAACGGTAATCTCTAGCTTTCGGCAATTCTGCATGGAGCCTTCATCAGGACTCGTTGAGGTTGCAGCCAAATGGTGTTTCAAAACGAACACGGGGATGAGAGCACTTGTTACAAATATAAAACCAACCGGACGGACACATTGGGTTTATTGATAACGACGGATACCATCATTAGGTGTTAACAATATATATCAATACATCCGAACATATTAGAAATTATTAACGAGAAGCAATTTTGGGGACAAAACCGGAACGTCCTTTCTGACCTCCTCAGGCCATCGCTAATCAGTGTAAGGATGGTTGGTATGCGTATGGTATATCGCCGAATACGACAGTTTGGCCTTTTTTGTTATCGCCCACATTGGGTGCTACCTCCGTTTGCTCTGGTATGAAGAATTCTCACTATTCGTCATTGTCTGTCAGAGCGGTCTGTAGGACCTTTGGTCTTGGTTGAAGTCTTGTAAGTCAGTAGGTCTGTCAGGTCTGGTTGCCCAGATACCAAACAAAGTCAGGGAGAAAGAAGGGAAGAAGAAAGGAAGGAAGGAGGGAGAGCAAAGAAACAAGAAGCGCATCAATTTAAGGGGTGCCTTGGCATTGCTAGTTAGTATTCGGCAATTTTAAATTGATCCTAAAATTAATTTTGGGATTGGTTGTTGAAGAAAAATTATAATTTTGGTTGGACCTAAAGTCGCACGATTTAATTTTGTTCACAGTGCGAGTCGCGGCCTTGCGTACTTGCGAACTTGCTCGACTGTGTAGTCTACTGACTCGCGCAACAAAGGGTTGTTATGCGATTCTGCTTGACTGTAACGTAGCTGCGCTTGTGGTTTGATGTAGTCCCTTAGGTAAGTGATGTCAAGGTCTCTGTGAAGGGTCTCGTTGGAAACATACCATAGGGCGTTAGTGATTGTTCGCAAGGTTCTGTTCTGCAAATCCTGCAGGCTACGCAAATGCGTTTTGGCGAGAAAACACCAAGCCGCACTTGCGTATGTGATCGCTGGTCTAATAACCATCTTGTATAGCCGAACTTTGTTGATCAAACTTAATTTTGATGTTCTACATAGCATAGGGTAGAGTTGCCAAAACAAGATTTGGAATTTAGTTTTTAACGCTTCAGAGTGCTTCTGCCAGGTTATCCCCTTGTCAAGAGTGACACCGAGATACTTAGCAGAGCTTTCCCATGGTACCCGAGCTCCATTCACTGAAACCTCAGACGGGACGCCGCTACGTTTTTTAGCACAATAGATTGCCTGCGTATTCGAATGATTAATTTTGATCAGCCACCGATTCGCCCATTCCAATACCTCGTCCACTGCACTTTGCAGCCTGTCGTGAACTAGATCCCCAGAGCACGACTGGTCCACCAGGGCAGTGTCATCAGCATAGAGATAGGTTTCACAGCTGCTGGGGCAAGTGACGTCATGAATAAAAAGTGAATAAAGGACTGGTCCAAGAACCGAACCCTGAGGGACACCGGCTTTGATGGTCCGTGTTGTCGACCGAACGTTATTAATTTTGATCCGAAATTTCCTACCCTCGAGAAAGGATTTCAAAAGTTTTAGGAGCCAGAAGGGGAACCCCTTATGGATCAATTTGTAGAGAAGGCCCTTGTGCCACACCTTGTCAAACGCCTTTGAGACATCCAGTAGCAAGATGCCAGTACTTTAGTTACGGGTGATCTCCCTGGTTACTCGTTCAACAAGCCTTATGGACTGTAGCTCCGTACTATGCTCAGACCGAAAGCCAAATTGCAAGCCAGGAATCACATTGTGGTCTGCCGAGAAGTTTTCAAGGTGACGTAGAATCACCTTTTCAGCGAGTTTAGAAGGAGTTGACAGTAGACTAATGGGGCGGTAATCCTGGGGGAATATCGAACCCACCTTCTTTGGAATCATTATGACATCAGCGGTCTTCCACGCCGTTGGGAAGTGCTGGGTCCTAAGCATGGCATTGATTATTTATTGCCACGAGATAAGTTAAGGAGTTCCGCGAAAGTAGCTTCAGCGCCTTATTAGTGATTCGATCCTCTCCAGGTGCTTTACGCACCTTGATGTCTTTAATATGACCTTGGAGCTCAGCTGGTGTGCAATGCGGAGTCTCAGGAGATTCCGCTGATGTGCCGTGCAGCTCTTCAATTGAGGAATCTTCTGAAGATTCCTCTGAGGAAAAATCACTAAGGGAGGCACTACTGCCACTGACGCTGTTGGCCCTAAAATATCTCCTGACGGATCTTACAATATGTTGCTCCTCGTCGAGGTCATTATCAAGGTCATAGTTGCGAGAGAACTGACTTTCCATTGCATCAGCTAAAACCTCGACCTTTTCCTCTGTCCTACAGACTAAGCCCCTAGGACCGTGGATGTGCGGGAGTTGTTCTCGATTTCCGTTTCTGAGCGACTTTGCAACTTTCCAGAGAGGAATACTTGAGTCAAGCATCCCCGTGAGAAAGTCGCTCCATTGCTCATTACGGAATTCATGAAGAGCATTTCTCATTTCATGAACAAGATTAGTTGCTCTGTGAATGTCATCTGGGTGACTAGACCTCTTCGCTTGCTTAATTGCAGCTCTTCTGTCAGAAATTTTCTGACGAATGTCTGCAGGGAGAAGTGAGGAATTCTGTGGGACCGGGAATGGAATCAAGGTGACGTGATGAAAGACGTCACCCACAATTTGACAGAGAGCGTCACGTTCATTACATGACTTCCAAAACCCGATTTTTCAGAAAGGCAATGCCAGACCGCATGTTGCTAGAGCATCTTTTGCCTGCCCCTGACCTATCGTCAATTGAACATATCTGGGACATCATAGGTTGAAGGCTCTTGAATTTGCATCACCCCACACAGGGTTTAGCAGCTCTTATTCACGAAGTTGCAGTAGCCTCGAATGAAATATTCTATTAGGATAACGACCACCCTATCAGCACGTGTCAATGAGAGTTTAAGAAATCGTGGATCCTCAACACATTATTGAACCAGGTTCTGCAGTCAGTTGACAAATCAAGCTGAAAATTTAATCATTTTACTAGTAAGGGACACTGAGCATTATGCCGAACATTATTAAAATCGGATAAACATACGTAGGTGTTTACCTTTTTTGTCACTTATTATTATTATTATATCGTCGTATTCCATTGAATTTTGGAGAGAGGAATGAAAGTACGCCAACTTCAGGATTAATTGCGCAAAGTGCCAAAAATATGATCTGCTTATACAGGGTAGTGCAAAACGTAAGGTATTTCCAAATATTTAATAAAATGTAAGGTGTTCTATTTAAATAAAATATATATTTGTTGTGCTACGGAATTGTCCATTACCCATTTTATTTCCGAATAATGCAGAAATACACACCTATGAAAAATTTATCTTCGCCAGATGAAACCGTTATATACTTTTATACTTTTTCTATAAAACTACTTTCCATTTTCGTTGGGACACCCTGTACTATGTATCTAAAAATAGTTACAAATACCACACAGTTAGTATTTACCCGGATCCCTTCCATCACTATTTTCTGATCATTCTGTCAGGGTCAGTGGGTTTCTACTTAACATTATGTATCAGTAATAACTGACGTCCAGGCTACACGGTCAATAAATACCAGATTCCATGATAAATACTGACGGATCACAGTAAATACTGATCGTATGACATTCGACTAAAAGTTAATATTGAGACTAGGTAAAATTTTATATTCGACTCGAGTATACTCCCTAAAGCACACAAGCTTTCAAATAAAATTGCAAAGCTCTACTTTATATTTGCTAACTTACCTGTTGGGTTCTCTCTCCAGCATTCAACAGATATTGTTGCAACATAGATTCCAATAGTGGCACCCATTTATCTTGTTGCTCAACTATGGCGATACTACCTGCAAACCATTTAGTTTTATATTCAGTTCTGTATATTTGCTCAAACCATGTTCAACAAAACAATGTATTTAAATTTTGCATTACACAGGAACATTCTATATTATGTATGCTCTATAAAGTTTGCGACCTACATAACAAAATTCTATACACCTATGTAAAACGTTTTCGGATCTTAGGCGCATCCTAAGCCTGGATAATGTAAGCTGATATAATCCTAGAAATATTGTGATGTACTCCCAAGAGGACATGTAAGCTTTATTCCCAAAGGAATTTTGGTCACATCCCCTTTGACCTAAACAATAGCGTCTCTCCCCCCCTACCATCGGCGTAAGTACCTGGTAACATTAAAAAAAAATGAGAAAACCAAGGAACAAAATCAATATTTAATAAACGTCTTTATTATAAAAAGGTGCTTTTGCATAGCTAGTTAATGCTAAGCCATGTACAGATATGTAACAACACGGCGAACCGAACCTCGAGACGAACCGCAGCGCGCGCATTTTGACGAACGACATTGCAACGAGCATCACCACTAACCTAACGACGTCATGCAACCACATCGCGCAACAAAATGACGTTCCAACTTTGACGTTTGTCGTTCAGTGAAAGACGAATACTAACTGAAATGGATATCACAGTAGCAGCAGCTGCCTATATTTATATTCACTACGAACTATGAAAAAACAAGTGATGAAGACGTCCGAGACGGTGGTGGCAAACGCATTATATACCAATAGATCAGCGCACAGGTACAACAATTTGATATCGGAATTGCCATTTTCCGTTTGCATAAGCCATCTGTTGTTCCCATTGTGGACTCTATCTGTTCCCAGACATCATTTTTTTTTTATTTATTGTAATGCAGGGTATGTTTTGCATCCCTCAAGAATTCCGCTGCTCTGTAATGCTCCATAACCAAAAGAGTTTTCTCCTCCGACCATTCCATCTTCTCTTCACGTTGTCTATCAATTTTTCGTCGCGAGCCATTCGTTTGATGTTGCGCTGAAAAACCGACAGAGCCTGGATCGGACCGAACGGCGAGCTGTAAACATATCTGTACATGGCTTTATGGAAAAGAGTAAGGCAGAATTATCTTGATCAATGCGATGAGTGAGCATATTCTTTACAAGGCTATCAATTCTAGACTGAACTGAAAAAAGTTCTCAATATAGACCATTAGCAATATTGAACTTACTTTTGTGTTCATGGCTATCAATACTGCAAATACACATAAGTAACTGATTCAAAAATTTAAAAATGGTTTAAACGCCTTCTCTGCTATGTGTGGGTAAATTTTGAGAAACCCAACACGAGAGCTCATTCATGTTATCAAAAATATATTCGGTAAAGGAATACTTTTTTATTTTTGGAGTTTTTCTGAAAGCGGATCTATTTCAACGTGAAAAGGGTATATTGCGAAACGATCAAAAATGTCCCTCGAGGAGGATTCATTTCTTTATTCATTTTGTAAAATACGTTGTTGCTCTTTGTATAGAAAACCTTACCACTTTGATTAGAGCTACTTATAAATCCCATCATTTTGAAGGTTTGGAATTTGGAGCGTTGTGTTGAAAGAAAATACTTCTTATTCTATCCACTTGTCAAAAGTTGTTATGGTTTAGTACCTTTTGTACCATCTTAAGCCATGTCTGGCCTCTGGACACCGAAGAGCTTGAGGTCTGAAGTTAAAGAAGCTGCTCCAAGGCAGATCGTCCCGTACTCTGCTTTGGCGTTTCAAAGGAATTGTAGAGCGGGGATATTTTTTGGGGAGCCCTCATTAAGCCGGGGCCCTGGGTACGTGACTCTTGTGCCCATAGGATAAAGACGGTATATAGTACTTTAGTACAGGTTGGACTCTTGAGTCAGATTCAAGTTCCATAACTGACTATGTTTTACCAACGAGGAAGTTCAGAAGTTAACTTACCCTCTTCACACATAGTCAATCCTTTAATTTTCTTGAAAACTCCAGAATATTTGTGTCCTCTATGCTGGAATTCACTGTAGATATCAATCTGAGACAGTTGCACGTTGCCCGTACCGATCTCGATGGTACCTGGATCCAGCAGAAACTTGTCGTCACTCATTGGGAATGTCATCTTACCAGAAACAAGTACTTCTCCTAAAAATGAAAATATAAAATATAGCTCTTCAAAACTGATTTCAAAACATTACTGCAGTACTCAGGGATAATGAATGACTTTTGCTAAAGGATGTGCAAACTTACTCCTGAGGCCACAAGATAATACAGCCCAGCCTTCATTGTGGCAAATGCATCAAGAACTACCCTTAGATAATATTAACTGTGACACCACCATTTGTTGAGTTCAAGACAATTGTATAATTTCTATTATTAATCTTTGGACGCTTGAAACAAAATATTTAACTCATCGTACGCCATTGGTGTGAATTTGAGTACGGCGAGGTCAGTAGCGTAGGATGGTTTTTTGTACCAGTCTATAAACAACCGAAGAACGATTCTTTGCATCTTTCTGAGCTTTATTAAATACAACCGTAAAATAGTTCATTGGACATTTATTTACATACTTTGTTTTTATAATATCGAAGTATTAGGTGATTCTGATTGCACGTTTGGAATACTTTATTTACCTTTGCTGAGTACTTCAAACTCTCCACTGCCTCTTTGGACCATAGTGTGCATTGGAACAGATCCGTATTTAGGTACGGACACTGGACGTCTGAAGTGAAGATTCTCCAATACGAAGTCTGTTCTTCCCGCAACCAATTGGTCGAAGATTTGGAATACAAAATTCTGGAACAGACACTCTTGTAACGAAAAATGCTCATTTTTGCAGCGAGTTCTTAAAGAAATTAAGACCGTACTTTACTAATCTGTAATTACGAGTATATGAAACAAGTCGTATCTACATGAAAGCAATTTTGATATGTAACATCAAACATTTATATTTCTTTGAAACGGTGTACAAAGTTGAATTTCGAAAAATAGTTACGAGTGGGTTAGTTTACAAATTATTTGCTGAAATTGAGATAGATGGACCTTCAATTTTAGTATTAAACGTATTAAAAAATTGGATGTGTTCGTTCCAATATTAAGACTGCCTTTTATTGAGAGATCTTATTTCAGTGGATCCAATGGAGATCTTGGAGACAACTGCTTTTATTTCCACCAAACATAAAGGAAATCAAATTGGTTCACCCGTTAGGTTAAATATCTCAAAAAATCAACTTGAGGCTCAAATTACCACACTACCTCACCAAAGAAACTTGAAGCTATTTTTTTTTATGTAGTTTCTTTTCAACGTACCACCATCATTGCTCAGGGATACGAAAAATTATGCTTGTTTTTCTTAATGAGTCACTCAGATAAATTGCGTTACAGTGTATTTCTCAAAGTTGTCCTTGAACAAAGGCTCATCTTATCTTTATATAGTTTTCCTTGGGATGGATATTCACAATCTAGATACGCAGTTCAGGCATGAAATGAGAATTATCAAGCTCGGCTCAACGGGAAGAAGTTTTTAATTATGTACAGCTATATAATGCCGTAACTTTCTTGATATGTAACTCGTATGCCAATTTTATTATTATAAAATAAGTGTTACTGAGATAATAGTTTAGAAACAAAAGGCCTATGTATTTGTATATGATGGCCTTTTTCGCTTTGGAGTATATAGTTTTTTAAGATAAACAGGTGTCCAGTTGGCACTTCAAGACCTTGTTTTTAAATAAAATACGAAATTTAAAAAAGTTTCAGTTCATATTCTAGGAGAATTATATTTCCAAATGCTCCTTAAGCTGCATACAGACCGAGATTCCAACGCTAACCAAGGCGAATGTGGTTGCAGATTTGGAGGTGTTCGAATCGGTATGTACGGCGCGAGCCAACATAAGGCAAGAGTTTTCAAGGTCAGAGTTGGGGTTCGATTGTGTTCGCTCCTTGATCGGTACATTACAGGGAGGTTTGATTTGGTCTGGACAGAATTTAATGGGCTTCTGGTATTTAGTCGTTTGTCTGCATTCGACGAGAGGAGACTGCCGCCAGACATTAGCACCGATCTTCATCCGACGCGGTCTAACTCGAAACTAAATTTAGGTGTAGACGAGCGCACTCCAATACCTTCCAACAACAAACGTCAACGTCATATGTGTTTGCATTCGTTTGCTCGGCGTTGGATTTTCGGTCTGTACTTGGCTTTAGCTGTTTATATGAACATTCTTTGACTAAAATTTTCAGTAACCTTGTGGCTCAGCTTTACTCATAAAATGTGATTTGTCTTGCTTCAGGACATTGATTGTCTGTGGATTGTAGACCTTATACTTCAGAATGCAATACGAAAAAAATTTTAATGGGATTTTACTGTGAAACAACATATTGCTAAGGTGTAGACTTACACAATTTTTATACGTTCCTCCGTCGCAAAACGCTCATAATTAAATTCTCTAATGACACATGAGCAATATGATTTTCATTCTCATTTCATTTTCTTTTGAAATCAATGCCACTATGCGAAATGTTCAACTTCCACTCTCAAGTCGTTTTTTTTTCATTTTTTTCTTGTTTACGTCTTTCCCATTTTCTTGTTTTCTCCTCTTATGTTTTGGAAATTCATTGTGATTGAAGTTTTGTACCAATTGAGATACTTACCAAATAGTAACTGGTGGGCAATATCACAGTATCATACAGTTGATGTCCTACAATAACCCTGAACTCTTCATCGTTCAGCGATACATCGCTGTCCCTAACTCCATGTTGAGCGTGGTGAGAAGTTTCGGCAGTCCTCCACAATTCAGTATGATTCCATTGAGCTAGATCGCTCAGAGTCGGAGTGCCGCGGCTTACGGGGTACTCTATTTTTGGATACAAGTTGTCTATCTCGAAGTTCATACCGGTTAGGTACATTCTGGTGAATAAATACCATATTTAACTACAATGAAGTGTGGCCCAAAATCGATTTTATGGTTTGAGTTATTTATAACTCGTCAGTTTTTCAAAATGTATGTTTATTTCTTAGGATTTAGCAGGGAAGGCACGGGGAATTGAATATGAAGCGACACACCACGGATCAAAGAATCAGAATTTTTAAAGTCGTGGCTGTAATCCTTCACCTCAGCGTGCATTTCGTTGCAGCTTCCACTTAAGGCGAGGAAGAATTTAGTATCAAGAACAAACCATCTGATTGTAATTTCCTTAGTAGTGCTGGAAGATGACGCCCTGTGGGATGTTTACGTGAAAGTATAACAAACTTCAGTTCCTATTACTGGTGCTCTAAATATAATAATGCTGCAAAATTATTTAATGAGAGCCGTGGAAAACTATCCAAACCTGAAGATTCAATAATATGAAATTGCATCACCCACTTCAAAACAATAGTCAGCGGCTATTCAGCGTATTTAACCGTGCCTGTGTTCTTCTTTTTTCGAAAAACACTACCTCCTCCAAAAGGCACATCCGTAACGAAATGGCAGTCATGAAGCCCGAAATCTCGCGGGAACCTATGAAAAACCCTATGGAAGAGACGTCTTCGAGAAGCATAGTGTCGCTGAAGTGTATGCAATGATCTTAGCTATATTTTTTTACTGTAGCGTATCTTCATAACAAATTCATTTAAATTATCGCTTAAGTAAAATGGTTATAAAGAATTCGAACTATAATAATCCATTTTGCCCAACCCTGTATATATATAATAGGAATCCAAGGTTAGTGAACAATAGCTTGATTCCAAAATGCGATAATCTTATATTAGATATTACCGAATATTGTGAAAATTGAAAGCCTCATTCAGGATGAGTTTTCGTGATAGCCTTAATCTTAGCGCTGAATTTTGGAAAAAAAAACATGTTGTTTCTCAAAGCATTTTCATTCTTTTTTGAAAAGTGACTCTTGGACCTTTCTATTATTTTAACAAACTACTATTTCTTGAAAAAACTACTAGCAGACTGTTTTTTCCTTGCCGCAAATGTAAATCCTTAGTAATAGAGTATCGCAATTTCTTAAAGAAATAACGCAGGTCTTGTTCACATATTATTGAGATTTTGGTATCGGTAAAGCTTAGTCGTATAGCAACGTCGTATCGACCGGTTCTAGATGTATACAGCTTAAGCGAAGTAGTAGCCTGGGTAGACCTTCCAAAACGATGTGTTGACGCTAAAACTGATATTTTAGGAACACCGATAATACCATATTGAATGATTTATCTGAAAAGCGTGTCTGGGCGACAATATGGTGAAACTTTGTGGTATCAAGAACAGAGACATCAATTTTGTGTCTAGGTGATGTCTATCATCCTTTCACAAAGTGAAGATTGACGGGAATTTACTAAACGCTAAGAGAATGTTGTTGTATCATTTTTATACTCACTTTCCGAAGGCCTGTAGCAAGAACTCCAACCCCTTCTTATTGCCTCTTTGTGTTAACGGAATATTCGTGGCCGTCTTGACACTTCTCTTCAGAATAGCCTGCAGTAAACCATGGGGCGCGATCTCGATTAAAATAGCATCCTTAGGAATATGCTTGGAACCCTCCTCGAACAGCACGGAGCTCAGCAGATTGTTAGTGTGGTACTCAGCTTAAAAGTACGTTTCCATTTAAACAAGTTGTAGATATATGAGCCGGGCACATGTTAAAAATATTAAACAATTAGTTTAGTACACAACAGACCCGAAATCCAATTACATGATAATGTAACTATATTATTGTAAATAGTAGAAGTAGTGGTGGGAAGGCGAAGTCAAGCAAGTAGGTCACCTTTGGTCCTTTTTACTGTCCCCGGGTGTGCAAACACTCTACCCTACATGTTGGTTCACTAATCTGCCAAACCTCGTTAATCTCCTAATAAAGGTCAGGGTATCCGACCATTCTGCTGAGCAAGCAATTTCACCATCAAACTGCATGACTGCATGAATATCTCAGACTTTACAAAGCAATAACAGCGCAACAGCCCAGAAAGCGGAACCCTGTCTCGTCCTCCTCCTCTCCTCACCCTTGAAAGGTATAAGTGTCTGATCAGTCTGCAGTTGTCGGTGATAGCCCCCATCAAAAGTCTGTTCAGTAGTGAACCTCTTGGCTCTGACTCATTTCTCTCTTACCAGGCTTTTCCCAGGTTCCTATACACTTATTCATTCAGGGCGGTGTTGACCTGGCGCTTGCTTATGCTCAGCCTCGGCTCGGGACCGAGGCAGGTGCTAAGCGATCAGGTTTCTCCTTACCCGGCACTCCGCTGTATCCAGAGATACAACAGGCAGGGCCACTTCTTTAGATCGGGCTGAACTCTAAAGGGCAGTAGTACGTTCCTGAACTGAAGTGCTGCTTGACTGTTGGAGCAAATGAATATGCTCCGCTTTAATAGATATAGTGAATCTGATGCATTTTCAAACGGAATTTCCTAATTTCGTAGCATAAGCACACTGGTCACGGTTAAAACAACCTAGAAATAGTGAGATTTGAAAACATACCAGAAGAATGTTTAGCAAGGTCTGTATTCCAGTTTTCCTCTCTATTGGACGTGGATATCCATTTGGAAGAGCGTTCTATCGGTTTGGGCAGTACTTCCTTCAGATACTGCAGGAGGAGGGGAGCTGCGGGTCTGATGTACTGACTGTGGTATGCGATGCCAGCTACGTTAACAAGACGAGCAAAGATGCCCTGCAAATATAACAAAATATATATTTACCACAGTTCTAACGCGTTTGGACGGCAACGATACTGCGAACTCCCACAGGCTGAAGGTGGAAGTTAGAGTGAATAAAAGCCTATAAATGGGTAATCATGCATGTGCTATTTCGGTTCAACACTACACGGCGATAATGTCCTATAAATAAAATGTCGTCAGGTAGGTTGATTCTACACTTCCTACGTAACGCCGTTATCAGTTCATAGGATTAACTTCAGCACAAGTTAAACCCTCTGGGAAAAAATGCATGTACAATAGAAACATTAAACGGGTCAAGTAAGCCGAACATGTGTAGGCAATTAGTCCATAGACATTCTGTCCGTACCCTACCGGTGCCGTCTATCTGGCAACGTTGCCAATTCCCAAATCATTAGACACGGCAGCACCCACTGAAGCATCCCTGCAAAACAATCAAGCAGACCGTTACGCCGTTGAGCAGAAATAGCAGAAGGAGATGCCTATCAAAAACATTAGAGGCAAACATATAGAGGTATGCCTATGATGTTTGAAGTATGGCAAATAGCTGCGTAAATTTACCGGAGTTGAGAGCGTATAAATATATTACAAACCTCACCTTCCAATTTTTTACCCCTAAAATATTTCGCAAAAATGATCAGGTACGTAAAAAAATACGATTGAGCGATTTTATTCTTTGCCGTTAATAGACCGATTTTCAAAAACTGCAAAGCTTCTTTGTCTTTGATGCAGTAGTAATCTTCTGTAGAAATTTCCTGGCTACAGAGGGGCCAAGAATTACCGAACACGGGCAAATGTATGGGGATATCTATGATGTGTGAAATTAGCGGAGTTGGAGGTGTATTAATAAAATTCTAGATGATTTTGTTCGGTCCCTAATTTTTTTCGAGTTCTGAGCGGTTAACCACGAAATTTTTATCGCTATCAACGCGTTACTATATTGATTTCACATAGGGAATCAACGTTCGTGATAATGCTTAAGAAGCCAACTCTCAGTCGATTTGAAATCATAATTAGCAGTTTGGTTAAAATCTCCAAAGATAGTATTTTTCTGCCCACCTGTCCTGTGAGTTGTGCCACAAACTTTTCCAAATCCTCCTTAGGCCCAGACAACGTACAACTGTCGCCGCTGTTATGACAAGCTACCTCCACAGTAGGCGGCAACTTATCCTTGATCTGATTGTACCCCAAACCGACAGCGGCCATCATGCCGGGTATAAGCGAGGCGTCAAGGGAAGCCTTTCCTCTGCAGTAGGCGGACAGGATCATTTGCTCGGCCGTCATGCAGCCGTCGGCGTAGGCGCAGCCTAACTCCCCTACGGAGTGACCGATGATGCCGTCTGGTACTATGCCTAGGGCTTTGATTACGTCCGTCAGGGCAATCTGGAATCAAGAAAAAAATAAAGTAAAAATCATATCTTGTGCATTAAGGATTCATCAATTCTCGAAACTGCTCTACTTGATTTGAGGTCAAGAATTTTCAAACTACTTGATACTTGATGGAAAATAATCATTGTCAATTTTTGTTCTACTAAAGGCCTTCAGTGATATTTATTTGTACAATCGAATGAATTTTATTGCGAATAAACACACATGTATTCCCAAACCTAGTTTTGCTTAAACTTTTTGGCAAAACTTGCAACATCGACGTCCATTGAAAGAGAATTTTCTATCGATGCACTGACCATTACGGAACAATGCAACAGATTGATAACAAACTTTAGACGTGTAACTCATATCACTAAGAGTTGTTTTTCCATTATACGTGAATTATGTCTTAATAAACAATTTCTTGACTGTACAGGTGAAAAAAATTGTTAATCTTAGGCTACCTCCAAAATTAATTATTGTGATTTAGTGTATCTTTCATTTCTCAACTCGATATTGGTCACACGTCTCCAGCAAAACCAAACTTAAATAAAAATATGATCACATCAGCTTTTTTTCAAAGACATGGAATGGTTGGGAGTAAAAGAACTGTGTGAGCTACACTTAGCTACTTACACCCATAGATATTATCCATTCCCCCGTTTTTGGAAAATAAGCTAATATCTAGAAGCAATATTCATTGTAGGGACATTCGGTTCACGAAAACACTCACAATGCCCCTTCACAGGACATCGTTCTTTCGAAAGAAATTTATTTTAAATAGAAATACATAAATCAGTTTCAAAAATTTACCTGTCACCTCACTCAAATAATCCAATACAACATAATATTATCTTGTTTGTATTACTGTTAATGTATACTTTTAAAACCTGAAATATTAGATATCCTTCACTTCCTTATGTTTTATCCAGATCTTATTTTTATACGCCTACATTTTCAACTTACTTGTAACTCATCAAATATTTTTGTGTTTTTTTTATGGCAGAGTATTATTATGCTAAACTTCGCCTCCTAATAGAGGCGACTTATTATTATTATTAAGCGATAAATCCGTTAGGACCCGCATGTGTCTTCACTCGTGACCAGCTAATAAAAAGCTAATTCCGAATTTTTCATTTTTCAGCTGATGAAATGTTTTTCTTTAAATTTGTTATGCGATGAACAAAATATTTAGTTCAATAAGTATTATTGTCTCCGTAACCTGTCGCAACGTCTTTCCGATGTGTATTTATGATCTACTCATATTTATATTACAAAAATTATCAAGTAATATCAAGACCAAATTTTCAAGTACTTGACGTTAAAACTAGTTCACTTGATTTACAATGCTATTACTTGAACTTGACTTGATTTCAATTCAAGTAACTTGAATATCAATTCAAGTAGTCAGTCCCTAATGTGGATGGTAAATTTACATTGCAGATCATTTTTTTGTTTTCGGAATCTACAATTACTGGATGGATTATTTATTCTTAGTAGTATTCGACCACTTTTTTGATTTTGGTTTTACCGAATACCAAATCATAAGAGGTCATACGTATAACTCAAAGACTTGCGCCACTGTTTTATGTTCTACAGGATATTACCAAACCATGGGACGAAAATTTAGGGGGTGACCCTTTGGACCATTTCAATCCAATCTCGTCAGAAAAAAACGATTCAGTCGCGTACTTAGAAGCCTGCCTTTCTGAAATGATGCGGTTTATGAAAAACCATCAAGGACAAAATCGTCATAGAGCACTGTAAAGAACCGCTCCCTTGAATGTTTATCCAATGTTTTTTAAACACCCTATATTTGAACCCAACAGATTTGCTACTTACTCTGGGATATTCTGAATACTCGAGAGGAACACCCATGTTAAGAACTCAACCCTAATATCTGTATGACAATGTTGTATAAACACAAGACATCGCTATGTACATTTTTAAGTACCAAACGTAAGCAGAACCTCTTGACTTTATATCATTCTATTTTTATATAAGACTATTCAAACTAAATTGATATTATATTCAAAAGCTGTCGATGCTTGTTAATACATCTTTGTCGATATAAATTTTAAATAGTCAGAAACTACTTTTCCGCTTCATTTATATGTCCTTATAAACTTTAAATAGCAATTGTGAGAACTTTCTTTTCTTAAAACAATAGTAAAAGAATAAAATTTTTCTCAGTTAATAGTTAATAAATAAATATGTCAAATAATTATACTTGATACTTATCATACCTGGATAGCGGCAATTCCCACGAAACAGTGCAAGATGTTATCAAATATTGTCTTATCTTCAGAGGTGATGATTTTGATCAAATCAACACCTTTCTTCTTCAAGATAGCAGCTGATTTGTTTATGGAATCTGCAAATATGGGCAACTGCATTAGGTCGCTGGCCATGCCATTCCACTGACTGCCCATTCCAGAGTATACGAACCATACTGGCCTTTGTTTACCCTCGTAGTACTGGAAACATTTTTAATGAAAAACAAATTCATAAAGATTCAGAAAACAAGAGAGACCCATACATTTTCTGCTACTGTCACAGGATTTTTGATTAATGTATATTTAAGCAAAACATCTGGAATGATTATTTACTTATCTGTTCGAAAAATTATACAATAGTTTTTAGATAGTTGAAGCTAGTGGGAATATAGAGAACAAATAAATATATAAAAATTATCCACTTTGCCCGAAGGCCCGGGTAATGTGAATGCATATCACAAACAGCTAGGGACATAATTTTAGTCAAAAACATTATATAGACTGAAGAGAAAAAACTATGAACGTTGCCAAACTCTCAAGATTCTTCATGACACAACTGATAGTATGCAACAGTTGATGTTATCAGTCTTTTTTTTCGAATAGAATCATTGATTGGTTTTTATATCCGTGCACCAAAATACCAATTTACTGACAACAAAAATAAGGATACTCATGGACACTATATTTATTTTGCCCTTATCATGCTTCGAGTAAAAATTGGGATGCGAAAACATTCAAGATAAAATCTTCGCAAAATCCATTTTAAAAAAGGAGCAAAGACTATCAAATGAGGCTTTCTCAAATTTATTTGTGTTTTAATCGTAATAGCTATCATTACATGAATTATTATTGGAGACAGGCTCATTTGTATACAGACTAAATGTAAGGATGATTGGCGTAAAAATTAAAAATGGATCCATATTGGCAAAAATTTTCATTTTCCTCAGTTCTGGCTTCTGAACAGAAACCTATAAGCTCTCCCATTTCCATTAATTGACTGATTCCTACTCTTCCAGTATTTAGCATATTTTGAGAGATGTATAGAGTTTCTAGAGTTATAAAGAAGACAAGTGAACTTACCACTGACTCCTGTTTTATTTCTTCTCCCAATGTAACGTAACCACGATAAAGATGCCCGGGAATGGGTTTGGAGAATACTTCATGAATGAGCCTGTAATACTCAGGATCTCGTGGTTTTGTTTTTAGCTAGAAATAAGTAAGGAACATGGTTACTTTCATTAAGAAACACGATGTGATATATGCTTTACCAGTTCTAAGATCTTCACTACACCATCTTCGGTCCTGGTAGACACAGCAAGCAAAGGAGGTAGAGTTATAGGTAGTTGGACCTTTTCTTTCGGGTTAGCCCTGAGCAAAAGATGTCCATAGCAACAGTCTATACCAATGGCGTTGACAGCTGCATACGTTGGCTTCCATGGAGTGTTCTTAGTTACCACTTGAACCTAGATTGAAAATTTGAATAAAAAATGTTAAAGGCTTTCAGCTCATAGCTGATAATCTAATATTTATTGGTTCTAAAGATTGTGTCTCCTAGAATACTTCGACTAACTGATGTAGAAAAAATATTGTTCTCTCCATACAAATTAAATTGATTTGGAAAAAATAACTCTCTAATTATCTACGAAATACGACTTCATTTATCTGGTTACCTGGGATCACTCCACTAAGAAGAATTTTTCTCAAAGCCTTTCAGATAGCGGCATCTACCAAATAACTTTTGTTTTAGGGCCTATTACCCGAAATGTATTGTGCCTCATTTGCAAGAAGTATGGCCTTACTCGCCAAAAACTGTCACGCTTTGGGAAAATATTGGCTATCTTTTACAGTTTTTCCGAATACCAGGTAGAACGGTTTTCCTTGTTAACAAAACAGATTTGGACTAGCGTTTTGGTCATACCGGTGAACGGAAAAGAAGATTGGTACATACCTCAAATACACCATTATGGATAACACCATATATCAAAATTCCTCAGATGTCCTTGAGGCGGAACCTTGCTTTGTTTGGGATGAAATGTCAAAAAAAAAATCATGATTTGTCATGTTTCTCTTAAAGGGAAAGATATACCACAGAAATAACTGATACAATTATGTATAGAAGTTGTATCACGAAAATACCTCATACGAAAATAGTAGAGAATCTATACAAATTGTTTTAGTACCTAACTCTTGGATACTGTTCTGCTCTTATGCAGCTTATGAGCCGTAGCAGTGAATTAGATCTCATGAATCAAATAGAGCATGAACAGCAGCTTAACGAAAATCAATTAGATAAGTTTTACAGACAGTTACATGTTTTTGTGGTTACTCGTACCATTCCAAGGAAATATAAATGCGGTAATTTTGACACGTAATCTAAAATGGAGAAGGATCGATGAGGACTTTTGATATACCTATTAATTGTGATAAAATATTGAAGATCTGAAGCAATTCTTAAGAGGCTACGAATCCTTTCGAAAATACGACGTTGCTTTCGTTTATTTTGGGTGCACCTTGAGCAGGCCAAGATGTGTTTGAATGGTACGGATCAATACTATTAACTTCTTTTTTGAGTTTTCATGCATGTCGGATTCAATGTCTTGTATATTGTCGTGGTCGTTCTTGGCGAGTCAAAGTAAGACTACCAGTATCTCTTTATATATCTCCATCTCCCTCATACATACACATGCAACCTACCCCTGTGTGTAAACGTTTCTTCGGTGAGCTCAAAGACATACGTTTTTCAGTTGTGTGTCTCCGTCTCGAAAACTTTGTCGTTACCTATGAGTGCCCTTCAATCATATTTGTCAGAGTGACAACTTACTAGACATCGGCGTGCAATTCGAGCTGTCCTGTTATCAATTTTCCATATAAAATTGTACAATGCCTGGAAATACGATCAATGGAGAAACGCGACAGCTCGTGCTAAATTTAATAGAGTATTTTCAGGAAGAGAGTGAAAACAGCGCTTCTCTGTTACCCACTTCTTGCGTACTGGAGAGAGTAGCAGATGCGCTGAAGATCAGTCTGCGCCGTGTTCCGCCCATTGTACGGAGACTCGATCTGTTTACTTATTTCATATGGCGTTGATAACGTAACCTCAAAGATGACTACAACTTTACAAACCTTTGGTTGCTTAAGGAATGAATTTTTAGAAAAATTATTGACATTTTTTTGACACACCCTGTATAAGTGCTATGTATGGTATAAGTCGCATAGATCAATTCTTCAGCATATATGTTCATATTAAACGGTCGATGGCGTACACAGAATATATGCCGAATAAGTGCAGAATAGTACCTGAGAGTCCACAGATCACTAAATTTGATAAACGGTGACTAAAGGAACAAAGTATTTGAACAATTTTTATATACTTTAACTGTATTCTCTAGAACCTTTTTTAAGGTATTTTTGTGGAACCTTTTATTTATAAATTTTTGACAATTCATCACAAATAAAATAAGGTTCCCCTCTTTAAATGTATGAAGAGATTTGATATATTAATCATAATAGTGTATTCAAAGTCTGTACTAATTTTCAGCTTTGCAGGAATTTTAACAAATCTAATTCTTATTTTGACTGGGCAACACTAGGACATGTGGAAGGCGTTAACCGACAGTTGTAATTACCTTTCCATCGACAAGTGCCTTGATCTCAGGATTTGGTTTTTCATAGTTGAGAGTAGCAGGAATCATTCCGTTTTCCATCGCAACGACGACCGCGGCCACACTCAAAAGAGACGAAGATGCTTCAGCATGACCCATGACTGTCTTCATCGATCCGATCTTCAACGGTGACTTGCGCTTCTTGCAGTACACTTTCTCTAGTGCTTCTACTTCCTTCTTATCTACTTCCTGCAAGATAGGGAACAAAGCCAAGATTACTAAAAAATGAACATCTTCGTAAAAGTAATAGGTATTGTACCTATTGCCATTCTAACAGCTTAAACTTGATCTTTAACTGTTGTTACAATGTTCAGATCAATTATTCAAGTAAATAATGCTTCTCATGAATTGTAAATGATATCGAGCTATAAATGTGCGTAACGTATAATATAGCACCGATTTTTACTCCGAGAAATTCAAGGGAAAATAGGCTTTGGCAAACATACGTGAAAAGATCAGAAAAAAAATAATTCTGGATTATTACTGAGCCTCGAAACTAAAATTTTTTGAAAACATATTATCGATTCGTCTAATTCTTTATTTTTTAATCTATTCTTAGAATACTTTGTCTTTGGATGGTTTGCGAAAAGCGCTATTATGGGGATACATGGCGAAAAAGAATGCCAGCTCAATATCCAATATACATTACTTTTTTCTGTAGTGGAAAATACGAAAATCCTCAAAGACCGGATAATTACCCGGTGTATCTCGGGAAGGAACGAGCACGATATTTTCTTGTGGGTTCATGAGGAGAATTTTGGAGTCTTGCATCATAGCTGGAGCTACATATGTGATTCTTGCTAGTACAGTGTTATCAATGCGAATTTCTTCACCCCTAGTCGGAAATAATGCAAGTTTACTTGTATACAGGGTGTTTCAGTTTGTTGTTGCATAACTTTAAGATTCGATAGAACTTTTAAAATTAATGCATAAAGTCTATATAAACATGGGTCGAAAAATTCGTGGCTTCCGAAATATAGGGTGTGTAAATTTACTTTCTAAAATAGTTTTTTTTAAATATTTCGTACAATATTTGATGTATAACAGTGAAAATTGGTACACAAGGGTTTTTTGGTACGACAAAACGAACCATGGCATAGTTTTACTGTAGCCAGTAGAGGGCGCTCTCTACTGTACCTGTAGTGTATTAAAATGACCGAAAAATTTTTCTTAGTGCAATTTTTTACTTTTTGAATAAAAAAACTGATTCTTCGCACTTTTCAACATAAAAAAGCTTTCCTGTGAGTTTTCGTTATAGTTAGCCGTTTTTGAGATATTTCGATTTTTAAGGTTCGATGCATCTTTAATTATTTATGGGAAAATAATATTTTTTTACATTTTCGATTTGGGCATTACAAGTAATTAAGATGATCGTTTAGATTGTGTTTTTAAACACAGCAATAATTCCTAACTCCAAATAAACACAAAAAACAGAATATTAGTTTGTTTAATTTTCCAATATTATTTTTAACAAATTAAGTTAATCATTTACAACTAAAATGCTATTGGATAGTTAGGACAAACATACAAAATCTAAACTAGTTGCTCGAAATGTAAACCCAATTGTTCAATACACAATTCACATCTACGAATGATATTTCATCACATGCATTCCTGATTCTGTCTATTAGCATATCTCCTGTGGTTACGGGAGTCTGGTACACTTTTTCTTTTAGAAATCGCCACACAAAGAACTCTAATGGATTTAGGTCAGGGGATCGTGGAGGCCAGGCGACTGGTCCTCCACGGCCGAACCATCTTTCTGGATAATTTTCGTCCAGCCAGTTTCTAACTATTCTCGAATAATGAGCTGGACAACCATCAAGCTGGAACCAGGCCAATCTTCTTAAATCTAACATAACAATATCGTGAGTTGGATGTCGTCTGTTTGGAAATCTTCGTGCGTATTATCTGGCTGCTTCTGCTGCGTTTCCATTTACAAAGCCATACACAAAATATCCGCTAACTCTTGATTGGAGAATAAAAATGGCATTTTTATAAAACTTACAAAAAAAAAGGTAAAAGAAACTAAATTTCGTGCATTCACAATTGCAAAAAAACGTTTCAGGTTTCAACAGACAACAAAACTATCTGTCAACTAATTGACGTTTAACCTTATTCTGCTTTTAATTGCAAAAATATTTTCAGGCACAGCCTACTTCTAAAAATTATCGAGATACTGACTTTTTAACGTTATTTTATCATAAATAATTAAAAATGCATCGAACCTTAGAAATCGAGATATCTGAAAAACGGCTAACTATAACGAATGTTCACAAGAAAGCTTTTTTATGTTTAAAAGTGTGAAGAATTAGTTTTTTTATTCAAAAAGCAAAAAATTTCGGTCATTTTAATACACTAGAGGTACAGTAGAGAGCGCCCTCTAGCGGCTACAGTAAAACTATGCGCATGGTTCGTTTTGTCGTTACATCAAATATTGTTCGAAATATTTAAAAAAAACTATTTTAGAAAGTAAATTTAAACACCCTGTATTTCGGAAGCCACGCATTTTTCGACCCATGTTTATATAGACTTTATGCATTAATTTTAAAAGTTCTATGGAATCTTAAAGTTATGCAACAATAAACTAAAACACCCTGTATAATACTATAACCTATACCTTTCCAAATCTGAAATAATTATTCCGATAGCTTGAAATTTAAGGAACTTATGACATTTTTTGTGTTGCGTGCTGTAGCCGACCGCCCTCTCGCGTCGAGGTTGGTTCATGACGTCACATTACATAAGTTTAGCTTCTGGGCCACGGCACTGACGCGACCCGACGACGCGACGGTCCTTGCATGTCGCATTCATTCTTAGCTGCCCTACACATTTCATGTACACGGCCATGGTTCACGAGATAGTCAATCACCTCGAGCATAAAACCAAGTTTGATCCTAGACCCTTTGTCTTACCTTTAATCCGCACCCATACGTTTCGACATATTCTACATCTTCAGGCTTAACGGAAGTGTCTTTGTAGAAGTCTTCCATAAATTCGGTCATGTTGTTAACATCGATATCCAAAAGACCACCAGGTTGATTCCCATTGAAGATGGTGCTGATTCCTTCGATTGTGGCGTAGACGCGGCGAGCTTGCGAGGCCTTTTGCAGGTACATTATGGCAACACCATCTCCTCTACCATAGCCCGATGCTGGAAGAAAATTTCGGTCACAACACTTACATTTATATATACAGGGTGCGTTTTTAGTTTGAAATCTGTCGATAATCTGTTGTTTTTAAAGACGTCTACAAAAGCTGACAGAATGTTAGGCAATTGTCAATATGTCTTCAACTAATTTGCAACACATACTTTTTTTAATTAGTATGTAATTTCAGTGAAAGCTTGTAACCATCCACTAAGTATTCTCCTTTTTTTTGATCATGTGGCATTTACTTATTATGAATTGTAATCTCTAGAAGACTTCAAATAATTCGAGAATTTAGTAACATCGCTCAAAAAGTTTATACCAAAAATAAGGCAAATGTCGCACGATCAGTATTTACTGTGGTCCGTACCAACAGCATTTGCATTCCGTCTGTGGCAGTTCATAGCTGCTTGTGCAAAATGTTTTTTTTTTACAAATAATTCTCACCATCAGCATCGAATGGCCTGGTGCTCCCATCACTAGAGAGCAAACCCATTTGGTTGTAAATCCACTGGAACTCTGAATGGAGCGCTAGATTGGCAGTACCGATGATAACGGATTCGCATTGGCCAGATTTGATTGCGTTGTAAGCCAAACGCATAACTTCCAAACCGGATATCCAGTTACAGTCATAGGCAATACTGGGACCTGAAAAATATAAGACATTAAATAGTATTGCTAGTGGTGGGGAGGTGATCCCTGTTAACTAGACCATCTTGTCGACCCCGTAGTACCGACACAATACTACTGGTAACTTAATTCACAATGAAGTTGTATGAATTGGACTGGATCATGTTGATGAAGGCAATTTGACATACAGGTTGAGTTTTCAGTGTGTAATATGTGGATGATAGGTCTGCCAGTTTTAAAGCCACCCAAAAATGTTTACGCTAGTTACTTGGAAGCTATGCCGCACTCTGCCGGATGACATTACTATGTGGCATTAAATCATACATTTTTTAAATCGAAAGCCCTGTATATTTTACTATATTCTGAAAAAGGTAGAGGAAGTCGGTGTGGCGAACTGTAATGTTTTGATTGTTACTTCTACTACGGGATATTTCGTCTGAAAAAATACACAACTTTGACCCATTTTAAATTATGTGTACGATCTGTCCAAGTGACAGGTTATAAATTTCGCAAATAATTTTTTTAGATATGTGTAATAATATGTGTGCTATGGAACAATAATTAGGCACTAAAAGGTCATGCCAATGGGCTTACCCTACGTACGTGTTGCTGAAAAACGGGACTAGCAAATGGTTTTTATATAACTTCAATTCAATTCAGTCGACTTTATTGTAACAAATACATACAATACAGTTACAAAAGTCCGAATAATACTGCGTAAATCTGATTGTTTCAAACGTAATGGTTAATATTCTAGGAATAAAAAACAATTCTTAATTAATATTTTTCAATCTCACAGTATTACTTTATACTGGTATAACCGATTATTTAAAAAAGTGTGTAATTTCTGGTTTTTAATCGATGTCACAGGAACTTCAATAGTTTGCAAAATATTACTTTGGAAATTTTAAAGCTTAGGTGGTCCAATTTTTATTGTTTCCTATATGAAAAGCTGTTCAGTCACACTTAAGCAGCTTTTGTATGCGTAATTATTCCTTTAATCTTTAGTTTCTCGAATCGTCGTATCTGTCGACAAAACGAAAAATGTCAAATGGCCAATAGCTTTTGTGATCTACTTACTTTACGTATAGCGAAAAGTGTCGTTGTCTTATTTCATTCGTTGCCATTTTAAAACGTACGATTTTGATTGTCAACATTCTAACTTTAGTAGTTTTAGTCCTGTTATGGGTGCCGAAAGTGTGTGTGCCTGTATAATTCAACGATGCAATTAGCTATATTAATACATGGGAAGTATTAAACTTGCATCAAGGTGTCAGGATCCATAGGGTGTTCTTAATTAAACGTAATCTAGGTGAGATGTGAAGTCTGTAAATAGCGAAATGATCGATATACATATATTTCTTATATTTATGGGTGACAGGTGCATCAGTCATGTTCCAATCTTAAATACAAATATCAGAAGTCGCACAAGACATCACAAATGTTTTCAAAATATGAAGATGTGAGATTATCCTATCCTGCTTTGGATATTGATAAAAAGTCGAAACTACCTCTAAACCTCGTACAGTTGGATTATTTTGTGAAATGTGAACTACGTTTCGAAAAAATAATTTCTGATGTTCAACAGTACTGGCATAAATATTCGTCATTCAAATTCAGCCAATAAATACTGTCATAAAGAGATAACGTCAAGTAGATTCACTCTGCATTTCCCACGCAACGCTGTCATCATTTCATAAAGGATTATGTATATCCAATCTGCATATGAATGAATTTGCTCGATTTGTTCACGTTCACGCAATTCTAGAACCCCTCCACGTCTGAATATGAATCCTGCGACCACTACCATGTTCTCAGAAGAATCTGCGTGACGGCCACCATACGTATACGCGTGGGATGAAAAGACATTTTCTATTGAGAGAAAATGTACGGGTAAATCAATTATATGTCAACTATATCTAAGAGGTACGTAGAATAACTGGGGTTGGAAACGTATA